GCTGATAGTGACATGTTAGGACTAGCTATATTATCTTTATCTCAAGTAAGATTGCAAAAGAGCTTTTAATTATATTTATTTATAAATGATAAATATATAATTACATATATCTATATAGAATAAATGTTTAAAACAATTTTTCAGGAAAATACATGGATAATTAGAAAAGAATTGGTTCTAAATGGTTCAAATGTTACATCGACAATGATAATTTCTGTATTGTTCTATCCTGTTAAAAGTATACAACAAGTGGTGACAAGTCGAAGAAGTAGTTTAACATTTCCAATATCAGATGATGAACCAAAATCTAAAAGAAACAGTTTACCATGGATGCAACAGGCAGTTAGTATAATCTTGGATAAATTAATAATTATTATTAATTAATAATAATTACGATTAATAATTAATAATTAAAGATTATAATTAATGTAAAATTATTAATCATGATTATTATTAAATAATAATAATATTATTTAATAGTAATTGATTAATAATTACAAGAAGCAATCATAATCATTCAATCAAAGTTCATGATTAATTCAATAATTATGAAATAATTACAATTAATTTATTTATAATAATAATATACATATTATTGTAGAAAATATATATTTATTTTTTATTTAAAAAAAGTTTTAAAACATATTCAGAAAATTACTTATTTATTTTAATATGCAAATATAGTTTGCTTTATATATAAATTGGTATATAAATTTTATTTTAAATATTTTATCTAATAATATAATTCATATACCTTTCTTTATTATTGACATATGAATTAAATTGAAATAATCTATATGAAGATAATTGATCGAAAATATTTATTTCAATTATACTATATATATATATATATATTTCAATTTTTTTTAATGTAATGAACATACATACATGATAATCATTCAAATGATCATCATGATTACGAATATTGAGCAAGATTATTGAATTATTCTCTGATGATTATATAATTAATGATTATAACTATTATGATAAGTATAAATATTATATTAATTTTTACTCTCTCTTATACATGTTTATATGTTTTTATATTCAGAAATTATTATTAACTCACAAGGATATGGATCCCACTTCATCAGATGTGTCCAGTTTACTTTCCACTGGAAGTGGATTAATGGAAGTGACATTAATACGCGCGAAAGATCTTGTTGCAAAAGATTTAAATGGTTTCAGCGATCCTTTCTGTGAACTAAAACTAAATAATGAAACTAAATATAAAAGCAGCATAAAGAAAAAAACATTAAATCCTTGCTGGGATGAAAGTTCTATTATGGGTTTGCCTAGAAATGGCGAAACATTGGATATTGTAAGATTTCTTTTTTCTTATGATACATTTATAAAATAATGATAAATATAATTAATCAATAATCTATTTATTTATTGGTACAGGTATTATGGGATCATGATACTTTTGGTATGAAGGATTATCTTGGAAAAGTATCATTGACTCTCGATGACATTAGAAAATTATCAAATAATGATCAGTCCCATTGGTTCACGTTAAGAGGAACTAAAACGGGATCTGTAGAATTAAAAATTAAAGTTTTATCCGAAGAATGTGAGGTATAAAAAATTTTTATTTTAATTATTTATTTGAATAAAATATTCTAAATTTAATCGATTTAATCGATTTTTTGTCGTTTTTATTTAGACTCAAAGTACTTATGCAGCCAGCAATATTAGCGAAAGTTCGATTCAATTAAATATTGAAAATCCCGAGACAGTGTCAAACATTATAAGAAGACCTTCGATGGAAAAGTCAAAAATGAGATTGCATTTAGATGTCGTACCACCACCACCACCTCCGCGTACAGTCACTTTATTAAAACCAATTATTTCTAGTCAATCTGGTAAATTATTTCTTAGAAATATAATATACTATATGAAAGTTTTATTTGCAAATATTTTAAATTTCTTTGATCATTTGTAATATTTAAATACCTGAAATAGACAAAACTAGTATTGGAAGTAAAGATTCCAATGAAATGAATGGAACCCAAAATTCCTGGATACCTAGAGTTATTACAGAATCTGTAACAGATGTAATTGATGAAACTGATACAACAAAATTAAGAGAACGGCGATCTTCTCATAACAGTTTGACTCCAAGTCCGGAACAAAGTTTTGGCAAAAAATTGCCACAATATAATAGTTTTCGTGTTATGAAACAAAAGGTTATCATTATAATTAATAATTATATATATATATATATATTCTTAAAATACATAATGTATACAAATTATCATATTAGCAAAATTAAACAATAATATAATATAGGATTATCTAATCTATTATCTAAAATTAATATTTATTATTATATGTCAAATGTAATACATTTGATGAAAAAAATATATGTTATATATATTTGATAATAAAATTAATATTATAAATAATTTTAGGTAAAAAGAGGACTAAAACTACGTAGATTTCGTTCAGAAGTAAATATAGAAGAGAAGAATGAATCAAAAGGCATAACATTGAGTTTGGAACCTAGAGGAGGAGGAGAAGCTGATGCTACGGAACTTCTACAAGGATCTGGTTTAGCCCATGCTGTATCACAACCTGATATGCTTGGCAGAATAAGACAACCTAGTCCACGCTTAAAATTAAGACCAAATGGTTTGTAAATCATAATATGTAATATGATATAATGTATTTCTTAAAATTTTATATTATAATACAATAAATAAATCATTACATAATATCATAACATACATATAACAAACTAAAATTTATCATTTAATATATTTATTTAATTAGAATTGAAAGTTGTCAATGGTTCTAAAGAAAAGTATTCGGGTATAGAAGGTAAAGTTCTACAAGCACAAGGTCTTCATGTCGCACATATTGCTCAACTATATTGTAGAATTAAGCTACAAATGTATGTATGATTGAAAAAAATAGAGATATTAATATAAAATAATATTATAATTTTTTAAATTATAAAAATCATTTATTTATTAGATGTACCAGTCCAGATAAAATTACATCTTCGACAAATAGTGGTAAAACATTAGCAAAATCTCGGCTTTTACCTGCAATGCCTAATCCACAATTTAGTATAGACTTTCACATAGAAGGTGATAATGTTCCCAGACAGTCTTTATTAATCTTTGAAATCAGAAGTGCTAGTAAAGAATTATTAGCTAGCCGACGCATCACTCTACATGAATTATTAGGTATATTTAAATTTAATTTATTTTATGTTTTAGTTTTTCTCAAAGTAAAAGGTTTCTACAATTGTATTGTATCAATATAAAAATAGAACAATAATTTTAAAAATTAATTTTCTTGAAGCTTTAGATAAAAAAGTTTCATACAACATTTTTTATTTATTTTTCACGTATATCACTTCTTTTCCAATTATATTAATATAATATAATATAATATTCGTAGAATATTTTTTGAAGATAGATTCTAAAAATCAAACAATATTTTAATGAATAATTAAATAAAAATAAATAATTCGAAATATTTATGGAACGTAGCGTACACTTGAAAAACAGAAGGCATGCAATGACTATTATCATAAGAAATTTATTTATTTCTATTCTGATGAATTTATTTGTTTTGAATATTATTTGTCAGAAAAAGCATTGATTATAATCATCGCTTAAGTCTCGATCAACATTTTTGTATATTAATTTTTACATTATTTTGAATCGATCTTCTAAAAATGTTCCACAATATATTAACATTAACATAAATAATTTTTTTTTATTTAAAAATTAACAATATATTATAAATATATTATATAATTATAATTATAAATATATTGTTTAATAAATTACTTAATTTTTTTATATTATATTTAGGTGTTTCTACGGCAACTGATGAAATTCATACATGGTTGGCATTAAATAATGGAGCATCGTTGGAAGTACAAATTGCTCATGGAAGAGAAATGAAGAATAAATCCACAAAAAAACTTTTTCGATCTTGGTCGGTACATCGGATAGGAAAAATTTGAAATACTTTAAAATTATGTATTTTTAATCAATTTTAAATATATTTCTTAAAAATTATAATTTGCCAAACATATGTACAAATTGAAAGATTTTCCTCTGAAAAAACATGATGTGATAAACATTTACAAATTCATTTTATATTTTACATATTTTATTACATGTACATATATACATATTTATTTATATGCATAAATAAATTTATTAATATTATCTCACATAAAAATTGTAATATTTGATAATAAAATACATATAAGATATTTCACTTTTTATTGTAAAATGATTTATGAAAAAAACTTATGAAAGATAATTTTCTTAAATTATAAATTACATAATATCTAAAAAAGATTTTTTTGATGTTTGTAAAATTTAAAACTTATTTTATTTTTTTCTTAAATAAATAGTATATTTAATTCTTTTCTTAATAAAATATTGAAAATTTTATTATTACTAATTCTACAACTTAATATATTTTTAAATTAACAATTACATAACAATTACATACAATTACAGTTTTATAAATTTTGTTTTTTTATATATAAATTTTTTTATTTTTATTTTCAAATATTTAATCAAAAACATAATTATATGTATACTTTACATATTTTTGATTTTGAGTTTTTTATATTTTTATATTATAATTTATATTATAATAAATAAATTAGCTTTATATCACATATGCATGCACTAGCCTTTTTATAAATATATTTTATAAATATATTTTTGTTAAACAAAAATAAGAGAATTTTCAATATTTAAATTCAATATTTAATTAATTAAATTAATATATTATTAAATATTATATAAATATATTTTAATAAAAATTCAATAACAATACAACAAAATATAATGAATTTGATTATAACAATATCATACCTATATATTTCTAATATTAAAATATATTATAATAAAAAATATTAATAGAATTTAAAGAAAAATTATAATATATAACAATAATAATATTTTGTGACTTATAATTAGTGACATTACAATTATATTGTGAATTATGTATCATATAAAATGGTATAATTTATATAAATATTTAAGGCACTATAGAAAACATAATATAAAAACAGATATACACATAAGTATGTAAATGTGTACATCTTTAAATATTTAAATTTTGCAAAATGCAGATCTGCGACATCATTTAATTTCTATTAAGAAATAGTATTGTATAACATACAATTTTTGTACATTATTATATATATATATATATAATATATATATTATCTATGATCTTAGATTAAATAATTGTATATTTTTTAAAATAAATTTATAGGTACAGCAAATAATTAATTTCCATTAAAATGTCCCATTAATTCATTTGCCACTAAAATAATAAAAAAATTTATTACATTATTATTATAATATGATATAATATTAAAAGATTTATATTTTAATTTTCTGAATCTTTAATTTTAATTTGAATAAATAAATATTACAAAACTATAAGATAAAATAAAATAAATATATTTTATTAAATATCATTATTTTATGTAATAATATTATTATTTAATATAATAATATTTAAAGATTAAAAATATTGTTAAATTTATAATACTGATTAAAAAGAATTAAAAATATTTAAATATAGATTCTAAAATTTCATGTAAAATTTTAATATATAATAATATTTTAATATATAATTTTAATATATAATAATATATAATAATAATATAATATAATAAATTATTATAAGTAAATAAAAAATATATATATGTCAAATAATAAAAAATTTACATATTAATTCATAAAAAATTTATAAATTCTGTTTTTGAATGAATTGAAAATTTATTAAATATCTTTTATAAAAAATAATTTATTATAATTTTTATTAATATTAATAATAATCTTATAAAATAATTATAATAAATAATTATAATTAAAATAATATTTTTTATTAAATTTTTTTGGTAAATATATTTCTAAATAATTTTTTATTTATATTTAATATATTGTCAATAATTATATTTTAAAAAGAAATATTTAAAATGTTTAAAAATACAAAATTATATTTTAATTATAATTCAATATATTAATTTTTATTTTAAAAAATTATTATAACAATTTTTTATTTAATATTTTTTTTCTAATCTTGATAAATATTGCAAGATTTCATTATATTTTTTTCTATTAAATACTGTTAAATTATTTATAAATAGTTATAAATGCATAATTATATAAATGATCTAAATAATTATATTTCAAATTAAATTATCTTACCTTTAAATTACTTTGTACATTTCTATTACCGACTTCTTCTTGACGTTTTTCACGTAATTGATCTAACCTTTCTTGTCTTTTAACAGCCTCAATATTTTTAATTCCTCGATTTTGTTGTTCAGCAATTCTCTTTTCTGCAGCTTCCATTTGTTTTCTTCTTCTAGTTTCCTAAAAAGGAAAATACTTTTTGTATTTTTTAATTTAATCTTAAAAAATATTTTTAAAAAATTATTTTTAAAATTTTTTTATTATTGAAATATTATTTAGATATTTTAATATTACAATAATATTTTATAATTTTTTAGATATTAAAAATAAAAAATATTTTTTTCATAAATATTTATTATATCATATTAAAAAATTATTTAAATAAAATTTTTTTTTCACATTTTAAATAAACACGGAGTTTCTTAAAGGAGCTTTTTTTTAATATAATAATGAAGGGAAAAAAGTTTTTAATAATATTAAATGTAATAAATATAAAATTTATTATGCAAAAATTAAATATATAATTGTAATATACAAAAAAAAGAATTTTAAAATAAAATATTTATGCCAAAAAACATAAATTGAGTTAATTAAAAACAAATATCAATGAAAAATATTAAATAAGAAATATATTTATTATTTGGAATAACCTTAAAATTTCCAATCTTACCAAGTCTGGCGTTAAATCTTCACATGAAGATGATTGTTTGCAACAAGATAGACAAAGATTTCCCATGATAAAAATATTTAAGTTTTATTATTTAGTTAAAGAATTAAATTACTTGTATTATTATATTTTTTACACTTCTTTCAATAAATATAGAATTTTTTATCGCATATGGATAATAATAAGAGTAAGAGTTGCCATCTAGTATATTTCCAATCAATAAACATATAATATAATCATTATTTAAATTATGATAATGATTTATGTAATTAGGTTTTATGGACTTATAAATATTTTATCAAATAAGCTAAATTTTATTATAAAATTATATGTATTGCAAATATAAAAATATATATAAAAATATTTTGAATTGAGAAGAATAAGATAGAAGATTAGCATAAGCAAGATAAAATATATTGTTATTGAGATAAGATTATTAAAAACATTAATATATGATATGAAATATAAAACATTAGCACTATAAAATATAAAAATAAAAAATCATAAATAATAAAAATATTTATATATTTAATATTTATAATTAAATAATTGTCTTTTTATTAAAAATAATAAGATTAATATTTTTATAAATATTAATATTGTTATAAAATTGCGAATAATAGTTAGAAAATACTTTTAAAAAAGTTTTTAAAATATATATATGTATAATATTTTATTATATATATACGATTTTCATAAATATAGATGAAACAAATTAAATGAAATAATATTAAAAGTCTGCTATTATTATTTAAATCTTATTATATTTAATATTATTTATGATTAAAATTTTTAATTAATCTATTAAATTTATTGATGAATATAGATATATATATATATATATATATACGTATATATATACATATATATTCTCTATTTATTGATAGAAAATTATTCGTTTACGATAGGTATAAACGTTTTATCACTATGCTTATTAATGAATTTTTAAGTGTTGCAATTTAATAATTACTATATTAATAATTATATATTATGAATGAACGAATATATTCTTACAGTAATTACTTTTATATTAAGATACAATTTGTGAAATATAAATTTAATATCGAAATATGTAATAAACAAGGTTAACTTATAAAACATCTTTTAAAATTGCGTGATTTCTTAATTCATAGTACGTGAATAATCAAATATTGATTAGTCATTCCATATAAATAAATATTACTTAATATTGTCATAGTTCCTAAGCAAATATGGTATCTTCATGGTGTTATTTCATTTTACCAGTAGTATTATTTATTGGTTTACTTCGAAAATGTCGTGAACGTACATGGGGAAGATGTAAAAATACAGACAGTTTGGTAGGTCGAGTATTCATTGTAACAGGTGCTAATTCCGGTATTGGTAAGGAAACAGTAAAAGAATTGGCTAAAAGAAAAGCTACAGTTATTCTAGCCTGTAGAAATATACAAACTGCTCGAAATGCTATATCTGATATACGCACTCAAATATCTACTGGAGAATTGGTAATTTTATTTATTTTTAGTTATTTATATTTTACAATCAATATAATAGATATAATATTATAGTTTTAATCTATATGTCTAATCTTTACTATTATATATATAAAGGTATGGTATTATTTTTTTAGGTGCCAATGGAATTAAATTTGGCATCATTTTCATCAATAAAAGAATTTGCTATGGAAGTAATAAAAAACTTTGCAGAGATTCATGTATTAATTAATAATGCTGGAGTATATGTTCCTTTCAAAGAACAAGCTTTAACTGATGATGGATTTGAAATTCATTTTGGAGTAAATCATTTAGGTCACTTTTTGCTTACAAATTTACTTTTGGAACATTTAAAACAAAATGGACCAAACAGGTTTGTCATAAATATCAATTTCTAAATATCCATATAAAATATCTATTTTTTTTGTTAAATTTATTATTTATATATTTAATTACATTGTTTTTTTCAATAGAATTGTTATTGTGACATCTAAACTTTTTGAATCTGGGATAATTGATTTTTCCAATCTAAATTGTGAAAAAGGATTGGTAGTTAAAGGACGCATGAATCCTGCCTATTGTAATTCAAAATTAGCAAATACTTATTTTGGTATTGAACTTGCTAAACGAACAAAAGATAATGATATTAATGTTTACATGGTTTGTCCTGGATTCACTTACACTGGTTTATTCAGAAATGTTAAAAGGAGTTGGTTTCATTACATTATTTTTTCACCTGTTGCTCTATTATTTTTACGTACTGCAAATCAGGTGATTATTTTTTATATATTTTTTTTTATATATAATATGTCTCAAAATATTAATTTGTAATATTTAATATATTATAATTAATATATTATTATATTTATTATATTTTTACTATAGGGTGCACAAACAGTATTACATTGTGCAATAGAACCTTCCTTATCTAATGAGAGTGGTAATATTTACCGTGATTGTAAACTTTATGTTTCAAAAAAAGAATTAGATCCTAATGTAGCATTACGTTTATGGGATGTAAGTGCAAAACTGACTAGAATTAATGAATTTTTAAAATGAACATTTTCATTTATATTACATACATTAATTTACTTTTAATATCTCAGTGGCCATTTAATATTTATTTTTGTATGTAAACTATAATAATATATAAGAGTATAATAATATAATAAAATTAAAAAATTATTGCCATAAATCTTATAAGAAATAGCAACATATTTTTGTTTGCAATGTTATAAATAAAAAGATCATACTGTATAATTTTTTAAAATATTAGGATGTTGAAAATATTGTAAATTTTATTAAATCCTCTTAAAACTACAATAAAATAAAAAATAAAAAACTTTTATCAATAATAATAAAATTTTTAATCATTTCTCCGATGCTTTTAATATAAATTATTCTATTCATAAGTTATAAATTAGAAAAAAATTTATGTATCTATATTTTAATATATTATTCATTATAGTACATTATAATACTATAAAACTTCTTAAATTTAATAAAAAACATATACTTACATGATTGCAGTAAATCTGTACAATTTTATATCAAATTATTTAAACATATTTTTAATCTAATTTGTTTTTCTTTTTACATTGAAATAAGTTATAACAATTTCAATAGTTGTTTAATTTTCATTGTTTTCTTTATCCATTAAATATTCTTTATCATAATTATTAGTTACAATATATTTAATCCAATATATTAAATTAATAATATTTTCTTCAATTGGTCCTTTTATATAGATTTGTCTAAATATTAGTATGTATATAATTAATAGACTTAATTTTAGAAACTAATTATTAATCAATATGTTGAAATATTATTTGAAATCAGATGTTCAAAATATTGAAATCTGTTAAATATATATATAAATATTACTTTAAATTACATAAGGATATTAAGTCAATTTAATAATATTGTTTTTACATAGGAATGTTAACAATATCAACTTTACATAATAACTTTACATAATTAAAAAAATATAAACATGTACTAATTTTAATATTATATATAAAGAATCATTATTATAATTTTTTTTCTTATATTCTATCTATTTAATGTTGTGTAAACAATAAAAAGCACAATTATTATTGCACGACCCATCATGTATTGCACACATGTATTAAAATTTATTATGTAAGTAATAGTACCTGAAATGGTATATTATCATATAGCAATTTTTCATCGAATATAAAAAGCATATAGATATAGATATTAAAATATTATTTAACATAATGAACAAATATAATATTTTCTATTTAATTAATAAATAATTATAATAAATATAAATATTTTATATTTTATAAGTTGAAGAAATATATGAGATTGTTTTATTTTCAATTTTCATAATAGTAACAGTATTTATATTAATTTAATTTTTTCTATATGGCATGCAGTGAATTTTTGTTGGGTCTGGTGCGTTTAAATATTAACTATTATAACAATTAACAGCACTTTGTTATATCTTAGAATATAAATACTACAGTCGTGGTTTCATAACTTTAAAACTAGTTTTCTTATTAGCTAAAGCTTCAGTACGAGCATATACATTTTCTGAACTACGTCTAATAATGTCAATGTATTCACTTGATGCTTGGAAGTCACATTTGTTTGTTTCATCATATAAATAGCAATCTGATTTTTGTGCTGTTTCTATTAATTCCGTTTCCAACTAAAATATAAAAAAATATTTATATTAATAATAAAGAACTATATTTTTATAAAAATTTTAACATTTAAAATTTATTTACCATTGATTCTCTACTTGTGTTATTGTGGTACCAATTTTTAGCATGTAAAGAATCTGTTCGGTCTTTTCTATTTATATATATAAAAAAAAGACAATTATTTAGTAAAAAAAAATATATATATATATTTTATTATTATATCTATTTTATTTCTTATATATATATTTTAATATATACTTACTTTGATTCAGAATTATATCGTTTTCGCGATGTAAGATATTTTGATGAAAGATATTCTTCTGGATAACTACAAATAGAACTCGTTCTTTGTTTCTTTTCAGTTTCTTCATAAGCACAACACATTATATCATCCAAAGATAAACATGACTTAGCCAAATGTTTCTTACTATATGTTGAGATTTCTGTTCCAGCTGTATATTCATGATCATTACAACTTTTATCACTAGCTAATATTTTAAGATTATTATAATCTTTTGAAGTTTGATTTTTTATGTTATAATCTTCATTGTATTTTCCATTTTTTAAAGCATTATCTACAACATCATTAATATTTATTGAAATTTCATTAGTAATTGAAATAAGTTCTCTAGTTTCATCTTTTTTTGTATTATTATCATTTGAACTATCATCCCCATTTTGACTACTAGTAAGTGCCATTTCACAGCTACTTATAGAATTCGAGCTTCTATCTCTTACACTTACTGAACCTTCAAAATTATCCACATTGATTGTCTTTGACACTGATGTTGGTATCATAATTTCAATATTATTTTCTATTGCAACCTTATTTATTTGAAAATTATCTTCATTGTCTATATCATTTATATATTTATTAGTTAAAATAGCGTTATTTAAAGTTTCATTACTACTATTAGTTGATCTATCTTTTACTAGTACCAATGTTTTATTGTCTATGGCACTTTCTTCTGATTTACAAATTCGCTTTGATTGACTGCCTAAAACAAGAGACTGTACAGGTTTATCTAAACCTTGATCTAAGGATGAACCAAGAGAAGATTTTATACTCTTCAACTGACTCATAGATCGTGAAGATCGATGACATTTCTCAAAAATTATTTTTTGTATTGGTGGTGTTATACTTTGTTTATTATTTCCAACTTCAATATCCAAAGATGAAGTAGAATATGTTCGCTTTGAATTATCTAAACTACAAAAGAGGAAAAATTTTATAATTAAAAAAATAATAATTATATACATTATAATTATAAAATATTTAATTATCATGAAAACATAACATACTGAGATTGATTTGGTTTAATATTTATTAAAGTAGCAAGATTTGAAAGTGTTGCCCTTAAGTCTGTTGTTGGAAGGCCACAATACCATCTTAATTGAGCTATATTTTTATTTAATAAATAAACAGCATAACGAAATTGCAGTTTATCTTTACTTCGAGCAAAAAGAGGAAATCTAAAAAATTATACATATAATTATACAATATATATTTATACAATAATTATACAATAATTATACAATAATTATAACATTATAATTATATATAAAAATCAAAAAATATATAAAAATCAAAAAATAAATAAAAAATAAAAATACTTACTGTCTTTCATTATCAGGTAAATTTTCTGTAATATGATCTATAATTTTACTACGTGATCCATAATGTATAATAGGATATCTAGTAGGTATGTTAAGAAAATTGGCAATCATTTGTGTACTATGTGCAACAAATCCCAATGCTACAGCAACTTCAGTATCATTTGATAATTCTAAATCCTCACTATCTGGTAAATGAACATCATGTATTCTAAATTTTCGATTTCCATCCTGTGCCATATAAATACATTCATTTATACTGTGATTCATTTCATATTACTTTTCTCTAAAATTTAATGTCCTATCATAAATATCATACACATACTTGTGAAATAGGATATATTAAACTTAATTCTGAAATCAATTGTCTTCTTCTATGAGCAAGTTGATTACTCAATTGAATATATGTTTCTCTTGTATCTATTTGATTTTGTCGCCATTCATGTAATCTTTCAATATCTTTATTTAATTCCCTGTATTTTTCCATTAAATCTGAACCTAATTTTAATAAATATATTAAAATCATTTTAATTAAGTTATAATATAATGTAAATAATTTAATAATTGATACCATAATCTTGATTTTCTTCCATAATGTTAGAATGCATCTGATTTAACATTCTCAATTCTCCCATTTTTCTTGCTCTTTCTTGTTCTAATAATTTTGTTCTAAATTTTGCTATTTCTAATTCTTTGCGGATTTTTATTATTTCAGCTTTTTTCTCCCTATTTACTTTACGAGGTTGAAATAATCTGTTTAATGAACTTTGTGGATATTTTGGTGCATGAAAATTATCTCCAGAAGCAATTCGCATTCGAAGTGTTTGTACTGATTCTGTCTGTTGTTTTAATGCTTGCATTTTATTTCTCAAACTGCTGAGTTTATTCACAGTATAACTATCTCTTATTTCAGATGAATTAACTTTTATACGTAGATATCTTTTCAATTCAGGAGTTTCAGCAAAACAATATGTTGGTGTAAAAAAACCACCATGAAATTGAAAAATTAAAGAATTTTCTTTTAAAATAGTTTCTAAGGTACTTGGTAATTTTGGACCAATATATGCCAAGCCAGTAAAAGATATGCCCCATGTAAATATAGTTATATCAGTAGTTATATTATTAACAATCACTCTTTTCCATAATCTTACAATGACTTCTATTAAAAAAAAAGAAAAATACTCTTTTTATATATTTAATATAATATAAATTTATAAATTAAATTAAATATTATATCATTATTATTTGATTATAAATTGGATAGAAAAAATATATTTAATTATTAATTTTAATTATACCTATGAGCACATGATTATTTTCAAGGTACTAACAGATTACAAAGCTCACCACTGGCAGTAGAATAATTGGTAGCATATATGGTTGGTGCTTCCAAACTTGACCATTTTGGATTTACATTATCAATTATTTCACTTGTATATAAAGGAGAAGACATACTTGTTCTATGTAGAGTATAATAAAACCAACAAATTTCATTATTTATATTTGTTTTTAGATTGCATCCTATTATTTGTATAAGATTCCTAAGCCTTAACTGAAAATATATATTTTATAAAATAAATTAGTATATGCATAATATGCATATGCATAAAAATCTTATTTTATATATAAATAATATTAAAATATAAATAATTATTATTATCATATATAATTACTATTATTAATCAAAGAATTTATTTTTTTATAATTAAAATTCATTTTTTTTTGGAAACTGATTTATATTAAAAAAACAGAATTTATAGCCATTGACCATTATAATAAATTTATAAAGTCATAATATACAGAGAATAATCATTTTATATAAATAATTACCTGTTGTGTAGCAAGAGGAAGCCAAGCTTTATATCGTGGAAAAATACGAGGTTGTAGAGTTAAATCTAAATCTCTAACAAGGTTTTTCGTCTCTGAAATCTCCATTATATGCATTCATAATATTAAAATTATATAAAAATAAAGTAAACTAATAGTGGAATATTTGCGTGACAATATTTAATTAATATTCGAAATTATAATAGATTTTTTTAGGTTATACATATATATATATATTTTAAAATTTAAAATAAATAATGATTAAATAATGTAGAATATAAATACTGCTTTCTCACATAAAATTTTAATTTTATTAATTTTATTCTTTGTAAATAATTATTTTTAACTAGACGTAAATTCATTATAAAATACTGTCATTTTTTTAAAGTTTGACAGTTCTTTATACTGACACTTCGAATATATTTCGATGTTCATTCAGTTCCTTGATCAAATATCAGTACGGCCAAGCACGTAAATTTAAAATTACTTTATAATTTTAATGATACTTGACAAAAAAATTTACTAACATATAGACATAACAATAGATAGACAAATATATAATGATTTGTTTAAATTTGAAAATATTGTTTAAATGCATAAAAATATTATATCATATTTAAAATTTGAAAGAAATATGAAAATATTTTATGTACAGAATTAATAAAATATTATACAAAATGTATATAAAATGATATATATAAAAAATATATTTTAAAAAAATAAAAAAATTTTTAATTTATTTTGATATTATCAAAGTATTAATTAATTTAATTTTAAATTTAAAATCAATTTTATTATCACGTAAATATTTTTCATATATAATGTATAAATATTTGCAATAATATATTTTTAATTATTGTTATACAATATATATATGTATATAATATAATATATATATTATAATTGTATATATAATAATTTCTATAATTAAATTATATAAAACAAAATAATAGAATATTTTTAATAAATACTTGGATAAATGAATTGATAAATTAATAAAAATAAAATATTAAAAATTATTATTATTAAAAATATTATTATATATATTATTATATTATTATTATATATTATATAATATTATTATTAAAAATTTAATTATAATACAAAAATATTTATAATTAAAAATTGTATATAAATAATATATAATATATATATACATATATATATAGAAAAAGAAAATATTGTTTATCTTCAAATAATTGAATATTTTTTGATAAAATATTAATTCTTTTATTTTAAAAAATGATATTTTCTTTTGGTTTTTTTTAAATTTATATAAATATGATATAATATATAATTTAATTTAAAATATATATTCAAAACATATTATATCTTCATTTATATTGAATATATAATAACAATATTAAATATTTAATAATTTAAATATAATAAATACAATATATTTTTAAAATTTTTACTTCGATGTTCTTTATCAATATTCTTTTTGTTCTTGAAATTATCATTTTTCAATAAATAGATTTTAACAATAAATTTTTATCGTATAAGTTTTAAATACGCGCTTAATTCTGTACTGTTATTCCCATCACATGCGTTACCGCATCTCTACAATTTCTTGCTACTTATATAGTTCAGCTAGTACAAAATGGTTGACGTGCCTTGACTGTATGATACAGATTGATTGATACAACATTTCATTTGCCTATGAAAGAATTAAATATAATAAATCGCATATAATATTAATGGATTTATAAAGATTATTATATTTCAGGTGTGTATTTTTTTTTTGTTATTTAAGTAATGTATAATATATATATATATACATATAAATATATATATGTATATNTATATATATATATATATATATAGATAGCAAAATAATTAAATCGAGCGTTCACCTGTCAATACGGCTTCCTTTGGTAACAAAATATCGTCTTTATCAAAGTGTAAAATACTTAATACATAATTGATATTTTCTATCTTACAATGAAAAAAATACAATAACTGTGTTATATTTTTCATTAAATATCATATATATTACAATTATTAAATTTATATAATATTTTATAAAGATATTTTTGAAACGAAAATTTTTATCTAATAATATTTGTATATTTCAAATATTTCAGTTTCTGTTTTCTGAAAAATTAAATATTCATTTAATTATTGGAAATAAAAAAGATGGAGAAACGACAGGAAATACTGGCTCCGTTTTCTTTTGGTAAGTTATTATTAAAACAAGAATATGAATAATTTTTCTCTATCTGTCAATATATTTATTTATTGTATGCAATAAAATATTAAAAAAGGAAATATTTAATATTTTTTAGAATTAATATCCTGTCTATATTTTATTTAATAAAAGCTTTTTAATATAAAATTTATAAATAAAACTTTTTATTATATAAATTTTTAAAATATATTAGAATCACATAATCTAAATATATTTACATTTTAGCATATATTATATTGAAAAGCTTATTTAATAATAGTAGAAATTTGTTTTTTAAATTTATTTAAAAAATATAATAGTAAAATATAAAAGTATATAGCTTTAGTATATTTTAAATATATATAGTTATTAAAAATAAAAAAATTTTAGTATTCTTGAAATGATAATTTTATATGAAGTTTAATAATAGAGTTGATTAGTAATATATATTATATATTATTTTTTTATATTTTTAGTAAATTTATATTATGTTCATTTTTATAATTTTAGTTAATTTATATTGTGTTTATTTTTATATTTTTAATAAATTTATAATTTAATTATTTTATAATATTTTAAATATATTTCTAATATGATTTTGTTATTTAGTTTTTTTATTTTTTAGTAGAAATTAAAAAAATATATAGTACATGTATTGAATAATAATTTTTTTTATAAAAAATTAATTTAATATTAATAAACTTCTTGATAATATAGTAATATTCAAGTAAGATTATCATTTATTATAATTATAGGATTTATATTGAAAACATATCTTTAATTTCATAATGATTGGATGTAATTCATAAACATGAAAGTAATATAAAGGGCATATTGATTTTTAAAAATTATATACTTAATTAATGTTTTTAAATATTAAAAACAATAAAAATGAACTACTAAAAAATATTAGATATGTAAAAATATATTTATATCTTTATAAAATAAATGAACACAATAATATTTTCATTCTTATAACTCTTTAATAAAAAAATATTTGAAATAAATTATAACTAAATTATTTTAAAATTTATTTATGATTATTCTTTTTCTGATAAAGATTCAAATAAATAAATTGGAATGAATTTTAATTCCAATTTTAAAATAAATTGTTTAATGTATACATAAGTGGATGATATATAAATATATATTTTGAGAGATATTTAATATTTAAAAAATTTTAAAAATATAATAAAATAATTAATTTTCGTTAATCAATGTGAAGTATAATGATTTTTGATTAAAAATAAAATTCCATAGATGTATGATTTGAATTTATAAATATTTCGATTGAAATAGTAATAGTAACTTTCCGAAATAATATTTAATTATATAAAAAATGAATTATAAAGACGGAAGCAAAAGATGAAATTATTAAAAAAAGAAATAAAAGTATTAAATTAAAGCTTGGTGGTCGATTAAGGATCGGGGGTGTATAGAGGCGGGGTGGCACGCGCGGACCAACGGATCAATTCGCGCTTGGGAGTTACGGGGAAAAGCAACAGTGTATCTATCCCGGAAAAGTACTTGGTATGATTTGACCATTTTTACTTATTCTCAATATTGGGATGACAATAAACGATTTATCAAGTCAACGTGTAGGTAAAATACAATATGTTAATTGATTGAATATTTTCACCAGAAGTGTCATTAATATCCGTGTAATTCATATGATCAACATTCATAATTCATTTTTTTTAAGTATCATATGTAATATAATATAAATATTTGATCAAATATTATGATGAAATATGTTTTATTATTAATTGAAATAGTAGGATTAAATAAAGAGTTTTAATTTTATGTATCATTAGTTAATGTTAGATTGATTTAATAAGATATTCTTATTTCTGAATTGTGACATTTGATAATTGATCTTGGATTTGTAATCAATTTTAATATAGTAAAACTTAATTAATTTCGTAAAAATTAATGAATTTAGCTTAATTTTTTTTTAAATAATAGAATTCTTTTTAATAAAAGAAAATTTCAAATTTGACAAAATTTTCTTTTTCATATTAATATTTGCATATTTATAAAGATATAAATACAAATAGCATTATAGAAATATTTGACCTGATTTTCATAGAATATGCCTTTATACATTACTAACGTGAAGATGAGATGCTGCTGCAATTGTCACGAGCGGGTCCTATTTGTTCCCTTCGCGAGTCGATATGCGCGAGGACATTTGAATATTGGTTTTCCTATATCTTGATGCAGTTCACGAAATGCAACATTCCTTGCACACGAGTATCATCTTTTTCGCAAAAGAGTATTTTTTTTATTATCTTTTTTATAATTTTTGAGTAATTTATGTTGTAATATTCGTATTTTTATTATCTAAATTAATTATTAAATTTACATAATAAAAACTTTGTTATATCTATAATATATATTCATAATTGATAAATTTATTTTTAATATATTTATAGATGAGTGTCCGAATAGTGGGGAAGATAGCGAAGAAGATGTAATAACTGATTATTTGGGATCATCGCATTCTGATTGCGATCGTATACCTATTATTAATGGAGATCTTAGCAGTTTGAATCTACATGGAAATATAATTACTGAAACCGGCTACACCAAAGATAATACGGAAAAAACAGCTATTACAATGTCTGAAGGAACTGATGAACAACAACAGCAGCATTCATTGCTTACACTTGGCACTAATAATCAAATCCAGACTAATCCTTTGGTACCAATTATCAGTGTCACGCCGCATTCACCTGGTCTTGCTAAGAATTACCCTGTTTTAGGTAAATTTTTTTCATTATTTAAATTGTGGATTTGTTATTAATGTAATTATTAAGTCTATATCGTAATCATTGAAATATAAAAGATACATTTATTAAAAAAGAAGATACATTTATTAAAAAAAGTAATTACAAAGTTCTGTTTTTATGTGAACAAATCTTTTTCAAAGATTTTATAAAGAATATAAGAAAACTATTATAATATTATTTTAGTTAATGATGTTATAATTGTTCGGCATCTAATTAATTTTTAAAATGCAGGCGAACATATAAAAAAAAATAAATTTATAGAATAATTTATGCAAGTAATACCAAATTACTAAATTAATCCTATTTTGTTATTTTTAAACTTTATTATGTTGGAAATGTTGCATAAATGTATATCATGAAATATTTTAACGATTGATATAATAAATTATATATAAATTATCCTAGAATAATTAGACAGATATTATAATTGTGTAATTATCCTAGGAAAACAATTTTGCATTCAATTATATATTCATTGCTATTTTAATTTTTGATAATGCATGCTCTTGATTATTTGTTTCTTTTGTTATGTTATTTGTTCGGTTAGAGTCAATTTTGATGTTAAAAAAAAAAGAGAAAAGAAAAAATGTTTAGACAAAATAACAAAGATATTTGCGAGTATTGTTTGCAAGTTTTTCTAAATTTTATAATAAATGTAAAGGCTATCATAATTTTTAATTTGTATAACACTATTCATTAAATTTCATTGAATTCAATATTGCTTGATAAAATTTTATGTGCTTCTGTGGCTAACAGTTTATTCACTTCCTTGCAGAGGACAACTTGCAACATCTGCATGAAATCCATGATTGTATTCAACGTATGAGAGATTTAACGCTGAGCAATTGGGGATATAATCATCGCACATCCCACAATGATGTACCTCAACGATTAACTTCATCATGTCCTTCCCTTTGTCCTTTAATTTCATCTGAAATTGCACCACGCTCGAGTAATAATGATACAGGATCTGATCCTGATCTCCTTGTTAATTGTTCCACCAATAGTTCTCCTACACATTTTCCATCAGTAGGTCCTCGTTCACAGAATGCACAAGGTATAGATAGGAGACGCAGCTGGACTGATCTAGAAGACACTCGATGTGGACGTCGCAGATATTCTGGACAAAATCATCTACAAGCACAAAATATGGTTAATATTATATTATACATATTTTAAAAGATACTTTCATCTTATTTGTAGCATGATTGCTTTATTGCTTTTTTCATTTTGCTTTAAAGTTAAAGTTTTTATCTATTTATTTCATTATAATACTCAATATTTTTCTATTACAATTTCAGCGACAACGCAGTATTAGTTTAAGTAGTCTAGACAGTGAAATGGAAATAGAATTACATGGAAAGTCTTGTACCAGACCTGTAGGAGTTGGCAATCGAACATGCAGATCACAAGCAAGTACTCATTCTCTCAATGAAGCTGATTTAGTACAGGTAATTTAGAGAATGTTTACAAGTTTTTTGAATATTTGATTTGTAATGAAGAGGTTGAAAATTTTTTTAACAGAGTGAATATCAGAAGATAATTACAAAACGATTCAAAGGTAGTCAAAGATTAGCAGACAGTAGTGGTTTGATGCCTGGTCTCACAGGCTCTCGTTTACCTCTTCAGAAATCTATTTCAACACCTTCAATTGTCACACCCCAAGTTAATGCTCATTTAGCAGAGACTGTGACTAGGACAACACCATCACTTAAAACGTAAGTAAAGTAAAAATATTTTTAGATTGCACAGCTAGATCAATAATAATGTAAATTTTAAAAATATTATACTGCATTTTATAGTATTAATTTGATAAACAATGAAATAATATAAATTTAAATATAAATTATGAATTTTTAAATGTTATTATTTATTAATAATTTTAATTTTTTAAATTAATTTTATAAATTCTTTATATCTATAAATAATAATTTAATTTTTATGATCTAGCTTGCAATCTTTTTGTTACATCACATATAAATAATATACATACATAGAACAACTCATACATTTTGTATACATTATATATATATCTAATATAAGATATATAAAAATCAAGATGCAAAATAGACCTATTATCTTATGGAATAATATAATATAGTATCAAATATCTTTTAGAATAGCTTTATAATTTGTTATAGTTTGTTATGGTATTGATTTTTTATCATTGAAAATTTTAGCTTGTTGATTCTGAGTTATTGAAAAGAATGGCCCAATTTAAGTAATTAGAATGATCTATAAATTGTTAAAACATTTTATTTTTTATTATTTTTTTTATTTATAACTATATGATTAATATGTGGATTTTTTATTAACATATGATTTTGTAATAATTAATGAATATTTTTTCAATTAATATTATAATATATAAAGATGATATACATGTAAACTTTATATATAAATTTTATTTATGATTATAAAATATTTTATTTTACACTATATTTCTACTATAGCATAAAATAATAATATATTTAATATATCTTATATTGGAATTTAATTAAAATTTTAATAATCATTAGTGCAATTTTATTCTATACCAAATCCATAATGTTGAAAATGTCATTAAACTAGTAATAACTCTAAAGTATTGAAATATGAAACAAGAAAATGCATTTGATTTTAAGTCTATTTTAATTGTGATTATATATATTTTTTACATCTTAAACAATTTTTAAATTAATAATAAAAAAATGAATGCATGATTTATTAATATATTCATAAAATATTTTAAAAAATATTATATTAATTTAATAATCCTATTAAGAATGCCTGCATTAATTTGTAGATGAAAATATTTAGCATGATTGCACTATTTATTGTTATATTTAATTTTTAATTTCTTTAAAATTAAATCGCACTTTAATTAAAATCAAGATATTATTTCATTTTCATGATATTTTATTCCTAAAATTATTAAAAAAAATTTTCGAATTTTACTTTGAATTTACTCTTTTGTATATCTTAACTTTGCACATTTGTGGCACTTATGTGGCACTCTCGGTGGAAAACCACACGAGAATTTCTGATTTGCATCTTTTACACAATAGTCGCATACTTTGTGTTTGTACTTGACAATTTCCTACCATCCTGCATGGTACAGCCGACGTGAAAGAAATGAAAAGGGTAGTGGAAGTGAGACTGAAACCGAGGATCTTCACACACCAAACAGCCATGAATTTCATGAAGATAGAGAAGGCACTCCAAATGCTCAGATATCCCTTGATGAACTATTGACTGAGTAAGTATTATATATTTTTAGAGTTTTTCATATATACATGATACATTCTAAGAAGAAAGGGAAAAAAAGGAAAAATTAACTGGTTTGTATTGGTTTCATCATAAATTTTTTTTGTTTTAAATTATATACACATAATAAAATTGTAATATTATTTAGATTTTTCTATATGTATATTGTTTCTTCACAAAATGCTTAATGATATATTATGTATTTATAATATTTTTATTTTAATTACTTAGTGTAAACATATCATGTAGTACCGCTTATAAATATTACACATTGTTGAATATTTTTACATTGTTTCATATTTTAAATTCTTTTGATTAATTATATTTATACATTAATTATAATTCAATTTTTTTTAATTAATTTTTAGTGCAGTTGTATATGATGATCATCATTCAGAAAAAAGTAGAAGAAAACGAGGATCTATTTTTTTCCGTAAAAAAAAGGTAAGAATATTATAAAAAGTTTAAATAAATAAATAAAACATAATTTTAAATGTTATGATGAAATTATAGGATAAAAGTGGTAAGAAAACTAGTCAACAACATTTATGGACGACAATAATGGCAGGACCTCAGGGAAGTTTACTATGTGATGTTTGTATGAAACATTCAACAAATAAACCTATACTTCTACATTGTGACCGTAATTAATTATATATTAATTATATATTAATATATTTGTATTTTTATTAATTCATTGATATTGTTATTACCAGATTGTGGAGTATCTGTACATCAAAGTCAAGGATGTAAAGATCAACTGGTGCTAGAATGTATTAAATCAAAAAATCATTCTAGTAAAGCTGCCATTAAAACTACATCAAGCATATCCACAACTTCGAGTAGCTATAATGTTAAAAGAGGGTCTACTGCATCATTACCATTACCATTATCATCTGGAAGTGGAAGGTAAATAATTTTTATTATTGAAATTATAAATTTCCTGCATTGGATCTGCGTATCTGTGATTCAAGATTCGCACGCAATTGGCATGGCTAGGCCTAAACTTGGAGTTTATTACAAACTCCTCTTATTTGCAACAAATATAAGTTTGAAAATATATATATATTTATATTTTCTAAGAAACTTTTTACTTTTTTATCCATTAAATTTTTAAAAAAATATATCATCTGATAAAATTAACTAAATTTAATTAATTATATATTTATTATTAATTCAATATGATCAGCTATTAAAATTTAAAATATACTTACATATTTTGAAAAATTCCAAATATACTTACATATATTTAAAAATTCAAATAATCTGTTACATTTTATATTTATATTTATACTAAGAAATCTTATTGAATTTCTATATTTTATAAAACATAGCTAGAAGAGATTGTATTTGCTTATTATTCAAAAGCTTTGGCTGGTTCATAAGCTTATTATTTCTAATTAATTTTGCAGTTTATTAGCCAATAGTATGATAAGCTTTAGCGTGTTTATCCTCGTGTCTCTAACATGAACTAATAAACATTTATATAATCAACATATAAAATTCTACCCAAACTTTCTTAATTATTTAAATATTATTTTTATAAATTTAATATAAACTATACAATATGAAAAAATAATAGTTATTATTAATAATTTAAAAATAACTTGATAAAGTCACACAATTAAAAAAACACATGATTTTTTAATGCTGCATATTTATATGTTTTATATTGCGGTAAAATATGTTTTTGAAAAGATAATGTTTTCGTATCAAAAATTATATATTAGTATCAAATATCAAGTAATGTATAAAACTAAAAAACATAATAGAATAAGAAAACTGAAGAAAGAAGGGAAACAAAAGGCAAAATGAGGTTGCCCTAATGCAGTGTGTGCTTTTTCCTTCCCCCGTGCATTCCCTCTCGTGCAACGACAAACCGATCGATTGCTCGCCGATTAAAGGGAAATTAACAGCAAGAAAACTGTGACAAGCTACAGCCCTTGGCGGCGAGTTGCTACTAAACTTGGAGTCAAGTAAGTCTCAGATGTCTGATGTGTATCTCCTATTTTGTCGAAGCGTTCATACGTTTCTGTTCGTGTATTAATCCTACACAATAGTAGGATAACCCGTGTCTATCGTTCCTTGATTCTTTTCTCGCACACATTGTTTAAAAGGCAATTGAATTGCCTCTTTGTGTTATATTGACGGAAACATCACCTTACCCCTGCCTATGCTTCTGACATGCTTGCTTCAATTTTTTATAATTATTCAATAATATATTTTATACATCTTATTGTAACTTCATTCGATCATAATAATAAACTCACAATTATTAAATGATTAAATAATTTATTTATCAAGCATTATCAGGAATGAACATCTAGTATTATGTTTCCAATCGATATAAATTTTTTTATTACTTTCATTTCAATTTTTCCTCCATGTTATAAATTTATAACTTTATTTATAATCTCTCTCATGCTATAAATCTATCTCAGAATATATATTTGATAATTTTTCATTTACATAAAAATTTTTTAGAAATATATTAATAATATTATTTTGGATTATTGGGAAAGATTTTATTTTAATATTTCAATTTAACGAATCACATATTTCGTTTTTTTGTATATTCATTAATGATTAAATAATTAAAATATAAGTATTAAAAAAAACTGTAATGTATAAATGTAAATATCTCATACCCAACTTAAATATGCTCATTAAGTATTCATTTTTTAGAAATTCCTATAATTATATATTTCACAATTTTTTCTAACTTATAATTTAAAATTACTTGTGAAATAAAAAATAGTTATTAATATAATAATATATAATGTATAATATATAATATAATAATGATATATAATAAATAACTAATTTAATTCAATTAATGATTAAATATATAATAATTAATTGCGATTATATATCAGTTGAAGATTTAATCATTAATCACAGGTAATAACCAAATATTTTAGTTATAATTGTTAATTATCAATTTTATTATATTTATTATATTTTATTATATTTTTTATATATTATCTTAAAAATAATTATTGTAATAAGTCAGTTATTAAAATTGAATTTTTATCAATTATTTTTTGTCTTGTATATTTTAAACATCATTTAAACTTTATTTATGTAGAAAATAGGTAATTTGTATAGAAATATATAGAAACATATTTATAAAAACAATAATAAAAAATAATCATATTTATGTAAAAGATAACATCAAAGTCATAATAAAAATATAATTTATCATATCTGTAAATAAGTAATATATTTTAACATTGTTAAAAATTATATTAAAAACAAAAAAATATAAGCTATTTTAATTAATTTTAATGACATGTAATAAACAATTTTTTTTATTATAAAAAAAGTATTTTAAAAATATGAAATATTATATTTTTCTTTCAGTCAAACAATAAATGAGGAAAAAGATGGAGATGGACAACATCGTGATATATCTAGGTTTGTAAACTTTTGATTAAATTTTAATTTTTTTTTAATTTTTTTTCAATTAAATTTTTTTCATCATATAACTTCTTTTGATTAATTTTTTTTTAGAAAATAATTAGTTTAACAGTTTTAAACTAATAATAAACTTAAAAAGTAATTATAAATTTTTTGTTTAATATTTTAGTGGATTAGAAGGATTTGATCTTGGAGATGATGCTTATCAATTTACTGTGGGTGATTTGGAAGGTTTGGATCCTGAATTGGGTCTAGCTAAAGAAGAACCTGATTCCTGGAGTACCGCCATTGGACATAATATCGCATTGCGATTAGTTGATAATTGTGAAAGAAAAGTAAAAAGACAAGAACATATTTATGAGTTTGTACTTACGGAAAAACATCATTGTTTAGTACTTCTCGCTATGGAAAGAATCTTTGCGGAAGGTCTTCGACGTCACTTTCGTTTAGGTCAACCAGATTTAGAACGCATGTTCCCAAGATTACGTGATCTCATTGATATTCATTTACGATTTTTACAAAAATTACGTAAGCGACAAAATACAAATCCTGTTGTTCCTACAATCGCTGATATATTAGTAGATCAATTTTCTGGAGAGAATGCGCAACGTATGAAGAGTGCCTATGGAGAATTCTGTAGTCGTCATAGAGATGCTGTTGAAGCTTACAAATATTATTTACGTCATGATCCTCGATTTGCACGATTCGTACGTCAATGTCAGGTAGCTATAATAAGATATATATTTATTTTATTCATTTTATACTTAATTGATGCAATAACAAAGGAATATATAATTAATGTTTATGTATAGTCACATCCTTTGTTAAAAAAGAAAGGAATTCCTGAGTGTATCCTATTTGTAACTCAACGTTTAACGAAGTATCCATTGTTAGTTGAACCACTCATAAAAACGGGTATTGCACAAGAAGAAGGTGAAGATTTACGTAAAGCTTTGAGTCTTGTTAAAGAAATTTTAGCCGATGTGGATGCATGTGTTGCTGATAAAGAAAGAGAAGATAGAAAATTAGAAATTTATAATAAGTAAGAAAATAATATTTTATAAAGTATATTTTTAATTATTTTTTTGCTTTCTTTAATTCTATAAATTCTATAAATAACATATTTTTTTTTATTGTTATTTAGAATTGATGCAAAGTCTTTTGCAACTTATCGTGGTACCAAGTTCAAAAAATCAGATATCATGGCATTTAATAGAATTTTAAAATTTGAAGGTACTGCATATTTAATGCAAGGTCGTGGAAAAATGACTGCCATTGTAGTAGTTGTTCTTTCTGACATATTATTTTTTTTGGCTGAAAGAGATCAGAAATATGCATTTTTTGTGCCTGACAATAAGGCTGGTATAGTATCACTTCAAAAATTACTGGTTCGTGAAAAGGCTGGTCAAGAATCTAGAGGTATTTATTTAATAAGTAGTAATCCAGCTGAACCTGAAATGTTTGAATTAAAAATTCAAAAACCTAAAGATAAACAATTATGGATACAAGCAATTAGATCAGCAGTTGAAGCCTGTCCACAAGAATTTGAAAATGAAATTGATACATTAACTGAAAATAATAATAATAATGAAATAAGAGATACACGTTCCTCTTCTATATCGTTTCTTTCTGTTGAAGAAAGACAACGTTTAATTAAAATTAAAGAGTCACATGTTCTTAAGATAATTGGTATGTGTGATATTTAATAATATATGTATGTATATTAAGATATTTATAGAGATAGATACAAAACAGATACAAAAATATTGGTTGAGACTTATTTATTAAGTATATAAGCAATTTAAATATATTAGAAAAAGCGAGGCTACAAAAAAATAAGATAATAAAATAAGATTGAATTTCTCTGTTTTATATATTTATAAATCTTAATCAATATTTTTGTATAACTTTTATATTTGTTTTGATTTTTAGAATTAACTCTTCATTCTAGACATTTTCTGAATATATTAATATCTTGTATAAATATTATTAGATTGAATATATTAAAACCAGTTTATTATTATAATTAGGTGAACTACGTAAAAAAGATGCAGAACAAGCATTATTACTTGAAGAAAAAATCAACTTACAAATGCAACTTTTACATGCTGCAAATATTTGGAGTGCAAGTGAAAATAGTGATAATGAAAGAATAGAAAAAGTTGACAAAGAAATTCTAGATTATACTAGATTAGTTCATAATGAAGGAACAGATTCTACACAGTTACGACAAGAGGTTATATTATTATATTTTTTTTTTTTAAATTAAATTTTAAATAATATAAGAAATTGTATTCATGAATATATAAAAAATTATATTATAAAAATTATATAAATAATATATAAATATTATATAAATAATAAACTATGAAATATCTTGAATAAATAAAATTAAAACTGAAAAATCATTTTTTTATAGGTGGTTGCAGCTATTCAAGAAGCAACAAAACTTGCTAGCTCATTATCTTTTACTGCTGGTGGTGCTACTCTTTCGAGAAGTTTGAGTTCTGCAGGAGAACGACATAGTGAAGCCTATGTTCCATCTGCTCTTTGTGTTCCTCGAAGAGCTGAAACATTTGCGGGATTTGATCATAACAAAGTAAATGTATAATATGTTACTACTTTAGCAATTAAAATAATAAGTTAAAATAATTATATGTTTTTCTTAGGAAAAATATCCATTACGAGAATCTGCAATTCATTCCGTAATTTCTCTTCCAAAAGTTAGTGAATTTATGAAAGAAAATTTAGATGAAAAAGAAAGTCAAGATACAGAAATAAATAAAGATCAACAATGGGCAGCAATTCGTTTATCTCATCATGTTTATAGGTTGGTCTGTATAATTAGTAATCAAATGACAACAGTTGATAGTCTACAAGCTCAATTAGCTGCATATAAAGAAGGAAGTATGGGTAAATCAAATAATAGACCTAATCCAAATCGACAGTTAGAAGAATTACGTAACTTACAAGATCAGTTAAGTCGAGAAAAAGCAGCATTTCGTTCTGCATCTCAACAAGAACAAAAACAATTAGAAGAAGAACGGACTGAATTGGCAAGGCAACGAGAACAACTGGCAGCAGAGCAAAGAGATGTTACACAGCAACGAGATCAATTATACCGACGACTCGAAGCATTAGAACGACAAGGAGTGACATTAGTTACAGGTTCTGCACCTACTTCTACAACTATTCATTTATCTCATTTGACGCAAGGAAATGATACTGTACAAACACGAAAATCACAACCAGATGCTAAAAGAATACCATTAAATTTAATTAGTGCTACTAATCAACAAAAAGTGCAAAGTAATCTTCCTGTCAAACAACAATTGCCTTTAAAACTTGCTAGTGGAAGCAACAATAATAGGTATGTATAAATATTATTTATATAATTATTTAAAATATAACAAAATTAAATTAAAAAATTAATATTAAAATATGTACACACACACACACACACACACACACACACACACACACACACACAACACACACACACACACACACACACACACACACACACACACACACACACACACACAAATATTCTAATAATATATTTTTTATTTAATAAAAAAATTAGAAGTGGAAGTACAAGTAATAATAGTCCCGATCGACATTCGCGAACGGGAAGTAGTCCGGCAATTGTTACTGGGTCTACGTATTCTTCACCAGAATTAGGAAATAATCATGCTGGAACGAGTCATTCCTCGAATCGTTCACTTCGAATTACACGATCGCCTCCAGAATATCCACATCAACAACAGCATCAACGAACAGAACAGCAACAACCTTTGGAGGAAGAAGTAATTTTTTTCTGACGTTTCTTTCGTTTTGGTCGGAAACATTCTCGATCTTCTCGTCCTACAACTGGCGAAGCTACTCCAACTTCCACGTTAACTCCCTCCCGAAATCAATCAAAAGATGCTCAACCTAGAAGTCGTGTAAAGTCATTTTGACTTTCAACATTTTCTCGGTAAGAATTTTGAATTATTTTCTTCATAATTATTATTAATTTCAATTTTTCTTCTTCATATTGTCTTTATATTTTTTTTTTATTTGTTTCTAATATTTTCTTTTTACTTATTGGTATTTTTTCTCTTTTATTTCTTTTTTCTTTTCTTAACAATTTTATCTATATTGTATATCGAAATACAATATAGTACACAAGTGATGCATTTAAGGTGTCCATAATAATAGTGCGACGATTAATAAAAAAAGAATATACATATTATTTTCAATATAAAATTAAATAAAGAATAATGTTACTTTTCAACTGCTACTGAAGGCAATAATATAATTTTTATGCAAATTCTCACAAAATCTATTATATAAAAAAAGAATAACTATAAAATATATGGACAAATAAAAAAATAACAATTAGTACTCAGAAATATTTGCGGGAAAAAAATATTAAAATGGCTTAGTGAGATAGATCAGCCGATCTTGTTGAATCCTTATTCGTTATGTTATTAAGCCGACTGACAATTTTAGAAACATGATTTTAGACGAATCTTTTAAGCAAATCTGTTGCAATTTGCTGAATACAAGATAGAAAAAATACATTATTAGAATTGCATATACATGGATGTGTATATAGATATACTTTTTCATGACATATGTATGGCATTACTTGTACGTATGTTGAAAACGAAAATGTGTGAAAATATGAATGAAAAAAGAAAAAATAATAATTCGTATGTAACATTTGTGACACGTACATGTGTGTGTTTGTAAATGTGAATGCATGTATGTGTACGAATGCCTGAGTGACCGCGGTAGCTATTCTTATACTGTAACTTTAAAAGTATTTTAATACGTGCTAAAACGACGGATAAGATCTATTATTATCAATACATTGCTGTTACATGTGCCAAGCCACAGATTAAAATCATTAATTTTTTGAATATCATTACATCATTCCATTAATAAATATGTATAAGTCGTTTTTTTTAATTTAACAAAATCAATAGCAATCCAAACTACATTTTATATTTTACATCTTTCTTCGAGATTATTCACTGCCATTATCATTAATCTGTAATTTTTTTCTTTTCTTCTTTTTTAAGTAATATAACAAACTATTTTATTTATTGCATTATATATATTAAAATCGGCGATAATTTTTGATTGCTTAAACTATTTTATTTATACGAGACTTTCTTTGTGAAGAAAGTTTTTGAATATTTTGAAAGTAAAATTTATTCTAGAGAAAGTATTCTTTAAAAATTGATCATACTGCACGTTTAAGATATTAGATAAGAAATCTCGAATGTGGTTCTAGAATATAAATCATTATATTTTTTGTTTTAGTATATATGTATGTTTAGATTTTGCACGTATTTGCCTCAAAAGATGCTGTAACGTGCAATATGATCGAATAGAACAGCGTCGTCGAGGCACGATAAAAATAAAATATATAACTAATTAATTTATCTTCGTAAGAAAACATAATACTATCAATTTGTCTCAATTTTGTCTCAATCGCATACACACACAATCGTGGTGACAATAGTTCTTAAAAGTATTTCCGTAAGGTTTAAAGATTATGAAAAAAAAAAAAAATTTAATTCTTATAAGTCTATAAAAAAAAAAAAAAAAAAAAAAAAAAAAAAAAAAAAGAAAAAAATACCGAGCATATATCAGCTCGTAAGGATATTGTATTAATCTGTTAGTAGCCTTCATAGATGAGTGTTCGACTTCATTTCAAGAACACTTAATAAAATAAAACATTTTTAATGTCATGATGCTCATTATAAAAAAATAAGAAACATATATGAAAAGTTTTAATATTGGAACATAATTCCAAAAAATCATTCCACAGTTAGATATTACAAAATATATATATATATATATATATATATATATAATATATATATATAATATAAATTATATATTCTTTATATACATTAAGAATATTGCACTATGTCAAATGTAGCTTAATACAATTAAAATTTATTGTTATTAAATATTATCCTTGTACAATGAAGTCGCACACCATCTTCAGGGTAATGCGAAGAATCAAATTGGAATAACAACTAAGAAGTAGTGCGGCGGCCTACATGCGTCTTTTGGCATCTAACATATTTGATGCTGTTAGGCAGCATAAGTTTAAAAAAGGATATAAAGAATTATTAATAACGCGGTTTTCCACGTTTTAGTGAATCTTTATATCTCTGACGCTCATGGGAAGTATTTTTGTACGTTTACTCTGTACCTACTATTTTACTCTAAAACTATATCTATTGTTATTATTGTGATACTCGCTACTGCGATCGTCTTTGGAAATGTTAACGTAAAATTATATCTAATAAATAAACGCGTATTTGTTAAGACGCGTTTACTCATAAATCAACATTAATTCTCTTAAAATCTAACAAATTAAATTAAAAATCGTTACGTCAGTTATATGCTAATATCAATTTTGTTACTTATTATGTTATTTGCTTAATTATTTCATTAAGATTATCATTTATTCATAAAATGTGTTTATTTTATAACAAATGCATGTCGTAAACATATTTTAATCACTTCTTATATTCCGAAATAAAATCATTTTTTCCGGAAGGCGATCCATAAAAGTTAATCTGTTACTTAGCGAAAGTAAATAAATATTTACGATATTTTTCTTCCTGTTTCAATTCTATACAGATATATACATACTGATATGTGATTTACATTCCTTAACGTTTATATATACATATGCTACATTTTTCGATTGATACATGAATCGCTGTTAAATCATTAACCGCATAAGGAAATAATATCTATTTATTATAAATGTACATACAACTGTTATTGTAATAAAGAAAAACGTGAGGGAAATGTACGATTATGTTAATGTTACGTAATATTTCTCTTCTGTTTATTATATTTACTTACAAAAACTCTTTTTGCATTTACAAATTTTTATCCTATCAATTTTAATATGGCTTAGTTCTGTGTTGACGATCTCGTCCTTTGCCAGTACCAATTTTTGCCATCAATTTATGGCTAGAATTTTGTTGAATAGGTATAGTTTCAGTTTGTCTCCAAATATTTATAAGTCCACCTTCACCTACTGTTATTAAGGAACCACTCTGCAAATGATACATTAAAATATTCATTATATTAAAATAAATTTATATTATTTATATTAAAATTATACCTTTTCATGTAGCCAGCTATCACGTACTATTTGTTTATTTCCTATCATATTATAACATGTTTCTAATCGATCATTTATGATATTTAAACATCTCAAATTTTCCCTAAAATTTTATAAGAAAAAATATATAAAAATATCGCAGTAAATAAGATTAATTAATGTTGAAATTTAATTAATGTTATAAGTTATGATGTCAATGTTATAATATATCAAGATGTTATATTATCCTATTTTATAAATTATTTAAATCATATTATAAATGTTTAATAATAATTTATATTATTTACCCTTTAACATTACTGGAACCTGCAAGGAGGAATGGTTGTCCAAGTGCATTTGAAGCATGAAATCTAACTATATAACAATCATCTGGATCATCATTCTGAAAAAAATAATATAAATTATTATTTTGAGATTGTTAAGAGATTGTGTTTAGGTATAATATTTTATTTTCTTTAATTTTAAAATTATTTTCAAATTATTTGAAATTAATTTTTTCTATAAACATCAATAATAATATAATTATACTGTTGCATACTAACTTGAGAAACTGTTAGATTACTACGTTCAAATTTAGCATATGGAGTTGCTCCATCACAATCCCAAAGTTGTAATGAATTATGTGTTGTGCACCAAAGATTATCATCACTTAACCAGCCTATCCTATCCTTTTTTTTTTAAGATATATAAATTTCAATCTTGTTTATATACATTTCAGATTTTATCTATTTAGAATATTAGCTTACCACAGATGATTCAGTATTTAAGGAATAAGTTAATGCAGAATCTTCTGATGGCTGTGTAAGGTCAAAGACATTAATCAGTCCATCTGTACTACCCGATGCTAAGACATCCTGCTTACTAGAATGAAATGCCAAAGAGGTTACATCTTCCATATGAGATTCCCAATATCCGCCAAGAAGATTATTTTTATCATCCAATTTTGAATTAGTATGTCGACTATCCCAAAATAAAATAAATGCATCTCCTCCAATATGCTCAGTACCACCTGCTACAAGTTTTTCATCACAACTAACATCAAAACTGCAAAGAGGTCTCATTTTGCCATCTTCTGTACTATCTAAAAATACAAGAAAAGTATAGAGATAAAAATATAAACTTATATAACAAAAAATATGTAAAATTTATAAAGTTTATATGAATTATATATATAATGGAAAATATATGGAAAATATTTATATTATATCAATTTCTACTTCTTAGAAGAACTTTCTACATACCTTTAAACCTTGCAATAACTTTGCCTTTAGCTCGTAAATCACATGCTGTAATTTGTCCATTATTCATTGCTGTGTATAAAATATTTCTAGAAGTAGGACTGAACCTAATACCAACAATAGGTGCTTGATTATGAGTTAATGTAATAGTCTGGTTTAAACTTTCCCCAACAGAATATATTACACATGTATGATCAGATAAAGCAGTACCAATTCGAAATTCTGGATCACTATACATAAAAATTAATTTATAGTATATCTTGAACAGATTTTTTTAAATATATATAATTAAGACAATTCATGTCAAATCCAAATATAATATTTAATATTTTTTAAATATATTTTTATATAATAGTAATATTTTTAATTTTATAAGTAATCAAATATAACATAATATAAAAATAAACAAATAATGTTACAATAATTAAAAAATTAAATATCAAATAATTTAAATTTCAAAAAATATTGATATAAAATATTTCATTATTCAATAATAAAAAAATATATTTTAAATAAAATGGAGGGAAAATTGCGTGATGCTATTTAATATTTTGAAGTAAAATATACATAAAATTTTTTTAAAAATTATAAATTAAGAAATACTATACTTTTTTTAATAGATTTGACATAAACTGCTTCATAAGAAAAAGCAAGATTTGCCTTTGTGTTCCACAGACAGCAAGAATATAATTATGATCAAGAGATACTGCTTCTTCTATCGATGATATTAACTCGCTTTTTCTTTTGACGGTTCGATTATCATCGTGTTTACGTGTACCATGTTCAACACTTAATCTTTTTAATGATTCAACTATTTTAGCCATGCTGCTCGTTTTTAAAATTCCGAGCAGATATTACAAAATTAAGGTTAATATCACGTTTGGATTATAGCCATACGTCTTCGAAAATATAAAATATTTGTCACTTTGAACAAAATCGAAACTATTAGATTTTTTATCTTTAACTTTCTTTGTTTGGCGTATAAAATTATTTAATGTAAGTTTTTTTTTAATTTAATAATAAGTTTTATCAGACTACGCCGAACAGAGAAGACGCGATTTTTTTTTTTGACATCGGTAGGAACAAAAACTAACGTAAACTGTGAAGTTTGTTTGGTGTTCATTAAGATAAAACCATTACTACTTTATCGATAGATGGATTTTTCACAACCACAGACTATGTATAAAAATAGACTAATAATGCAATATATTTTTGTGACACATTTTTAGAACTCTAAGCATTATTATTTTCATATCACTGACAACAGATTATGGAAAGCTATTTTAACATTCATTATGATAGAAATTAAAATTTAAATAAAATTAAAAATATACTTTTATCATGTCTATATACTTTGATATTGTCAAGTATTACTCAATAAAAATAGCAAGATTTAAATAAACATAATAAAAAATTTTAACCCAATAACAAAGAAATAAAAAGAAATTTGAAACATTCTATCGGAAAATGACGCTATCGAAAATTCATTTATCTTTAAATTTATTTTCATTATTTGTGATCTTGGAAAGTATTCTTAAAACATATAATTAACTGTTTGGACAATTAATGTTTTAATTAACTGTTATTGAATTTAAGATAACAAAGATTTAATATCATATAGTTAAAGAAAAATGTATTAACCTACAAATTTTTTATATCATTTAAGATTTACAAAATATATTTATATATTTGATATATTTGTACTTCACCATTTAATTCTAATAATAATTTGTAATCACTTCATATATAAATTATTTTTAAATATTTAAAAAAATATAATTTTATTTTTGGAAATTACAATATATTAATTTTTATTGTAGAATTAATTAATGAATTAATTTTATAATTATTAATTAATTATTGCATTGTAATAGATTTTTAAGATAATTTTGTATTAATTTTATGAGTAAACAATAAATTATTAGATAATATATTTTTTTGATTTTTAAAAATATTTAAAAATTTTAAAATAATTATAAAAAAAAATATAGATATTTAATGTATAATATATATGTATTAATAATATCAATAATATATTATATTAATAGTATTAAATTATAATTTATTAAAAAAAAAATATTCAAATTAAACTTTTTATTTTCTTTAATAAATTATTTAATAAATTATTTTGAGAATATATAAAAATTATATTAAATAGGATCAAGAGATGTTTTTTCATAAAAATGAGGTGCTAATTCTAATAACCATTCTGGTTGGATCACAGTTATATCCTTCATATACGTTTTATTTGTTTGTAAAACTTCATAGAATAATAACCTTGAACAAAAATATAAGAATTGAACACATTAAATATATTATTATAAAAATATAAAATATTAAAGTTAATATACAAACCATTGTGGTTGCTGAAGTGTATATAAACAACTATTTGGATGTATATATAAATCTTTATTTCCACGTATTGTTTTATATGTTCCAGTATAATGTAAATAAGCCACTTTTGAAAAAAGTCCAGCGGTTATACATTTTAAAATTTGTTGTACATTTCCTTGAACAAAAATAATTGTTATTAAAAAATTTTTATATTTATATAAAATATAATATTATATTTATATAATATATCTATTTATTTATTTATAACTATATATAATATAATTTTTAACTTAACTTACGATTACATGAAACCAATGGTATATTTAATTTTTTCATCATAGAATGCATTTGTGTTCGAATTTCCATAGCTCTGCGCAACGCTTTATTATTAAGAAATTGTTTTTGACACCAACTACTTGTTTTATTTTTTTCATATGCAATATATACATTAAGTAATGTTAATAAATCTCCCTCTTCAACTTCAAATTTTCTTTGTGCTATTCTTGCTTTTATAGCAGCCTGGCCGCCTGCTGGTCTTATGAAAACATTTTGTACTTGAAGCATTGCTAAAATCGTTGATATTTCTTCGGAACATCCCATTTCACCTTTATATAAAAAGAATTAATTAAAAAATTATTTGACATCAAAATAATTATATATAAATACATTATTAAATTCTGTTTCTTTACTTTAAATTAATAATTTTTTTATTAAAAATTTTACCTGATACTATAAGAGATTTTGCTAAAACAGGTTCTAATGGCATTTCTGCCATTGTTATACCTAATGGTGTTGTTAATTCTCCATTACTATCAATTGCTCCTAATGCATAAAGTAATTCCAGCCCAGTAAGAAGATTTTTACTTGGTGGAGCAGAAGGAAAGTTAAATCTTAATACATTATCAATTCCTAATGCTTTTAGTTGTAGGATGGCAGGTGCTAAATCCGAACGTTGCATTTCTGGCGGTGTTGTCTCAAATAGTTCTGAATATGCTTTTTCTGTGTACAATCTACAATATTACTTATTAATATTTTTAATATTATAAATAAATAATTGAATGTTTATACAAATCAAATACCTATAAGCTTTTCCTGTTCGAACACGACCTGCTCGACCAGCACGTTGATCTGCGGAGGCTTTAGATATCGGAACAATTATAAGAGAATTTGTTTGAGTTTCTGTTTCATACCATGGAATTTTTACAAAGCCACAATCAATAACTAGATTAAAATTTCAATATTTTTATTTTTTATTATTATTGAATTTTTTTATAAATTTTTATTATTACAAATAATAATTAATAATTAATAATAATATATTAAATAATAATAATATAAATATGTAAATAAATTTTATTTAAAGTATAAGTAATGAATACTTTATAAAAATATATTAAAATCGTACCATAAATTATATTTGGAATAGTAATTGATGTTTCTGCGATATTCGTCGCAATAATAACTTTACGAGTATCTTTGGCAGCTCTCCAAAATACTTTCAGTTGTTCTGAGTTCGGAAGAGATCCATACATAGCTAGAGGTAAAAGTTTCACTACAAAAAATATAAAGACAATAAAATTTATCTTAAATGTTAAGCAATTATATAATGATGATGATAATATCATATTTAAACTCACATTTTCCTTCCTTTATAAGTTTTGCATGCTCTGATAAAAGAGAAACTGCTCGGTCTACTTCATCTAAACCTGTAAGAAATGCTAAAATATCACCAGGTTCTTCGTTTTCATGAATTTTCATGACAGTATCTATGACACTAGTCACATAATTAGCCACTGGTTCTAAAATCAAATACAACAAAATATATATAAGAAATTAATTTCATATGTAAATATATTTATATAATTATGTAAAATCATCCTACAAATATTCTAAAAAATAGAAAATGAAACAAGAAAATTAAGCAAAAAAAAATCAAAACATTAATAAATAAAAAATCGCGAAAAATGAAAAAAAATATATTGTAATAATGATTGTAAATATATTATTTTTATATAATTTTATTATTTTTTTGTAGGATGATATAATATTATATATTTATACATATAAATATATACCTTTTATAAAAAAAATATCTACTGGATATAATCTACCTTCAATAGTAAGGATAACCGCAGTATCTTTCGTTGAATCTTTTGTTGTATTTGTATTGAAAAAATCTCGAAGTTGTTCTGCATCAACCGTAGCAGAACAAACAATAATTCGCAAACTTCTTCGTTTCTAAAATATTTATAAAATATTTAAAAAAACATTTTTATATTTAATGCATCTTTTATTTATATAAATATAAATAAATTTATTAATTATTTATTATATGTAACTTTAATATTATATTATATTTAGATTATATTAATTATATTTAAATATAAAAAATATTGCATATATTTTACCCGAATTATTTTTTTCAAAAGTCCCATAATAATATCAGTAAGAAGAGTTCTTTCATGTACTTCATCTACTACAATTACAGAGTAACTTGTCAGCAAAGGATCGCTCATTAATTCTCGAAGTAGAATTCCTTCTGTCATGTACTATAAATAACACAACTAATTACTGAATCAATTATTAATTTTTCACATTTCCAATACTTTTTAATATTTTAATATTTTATATTTCCTAAATTTTTATTATTGTATTATTATCGAAGAAAAACATTATTTTATAATAATAATATTTAATAATAATAATTATTTATAATTATTTAATTATAAGCAAAATGTATAAAAGTAAATTTTAAACAAATTTTGAATTATAACACAAGTTATATTGATAAAAGAATTATTTCTTCTTCGTATATATGTTACTGAAATTATAAATTATAAATATATTAAATAATAATTAATAATTAATAATAAGATATATTAAATAATAATAAATTGAATTAAATATTTGAAAAATGAAATTAAATTCTAAAATGATTAAAAAATTAAGAATATTTTAAGTTCGATATAATTTTTCAGATTAAAATTTAATTTTTAGTAATACAAATGATTGTAAAATAATAATACCTTGATTTTTGTTGTTTCGTCCGTATAATTATCGAAACGTATAGAGTAACCAACTTCTGTACCTAAAATACAATTGCGTTCATCAGCAACACGATTAGCTAAAGAAGTAGCTGCAACTCTTCTTGGTTCCGTGATGCCAATTATTTTTCCATCTGAACACCATCCTGCTTCGAGAAGATACTATAATCATTTATAAATAATATATATTATACATATATAATATACGCACATCAAATGTTATTTGTAATATATATAATATTAATAATAATACTATTATAATACTATTATTAATAATATTAATAATAAATCCTTTCTATATTAAACAAAAATTAAATGATGTACAATCATCTCTGGAAATAGAAAAAATTTTTTTCAAAAGATAGTTTTATCAAAACAATTAAGATTAGTAATATATTCTTTGAAAAAATATTTGTAAAATTTATGCAATATTCTATGAAATATCTATATATTTAGAAATAAGTTATATCTGATTTTAAAATATTTGCTTAATTTTTTTCATTTAATTTGATTAATTTATTTAATTTTTATAAAAAAATTTACTTATTTTTGCTAAATTTTTAATAATAATTTACAAAATTTTGTTCAATATAATTATTACAACAATATAGAATTATATATAATTTATTTTATTATTAATTATTGTAAATATATTTATAAAAATATTAAATTATATTAAAATTTTTTTATTTATTAAATAAAATTACAAAGATTAGAAAAAGAAATATTATTTTATTATTTTAATATTTTATAATATTATTTTATTTTCTTTAATATTAATAATAATAATAGTAATTTTTTTCATGTTTGATATAAATTTATTTTGTAAATCTTATACAAATAAATTTTTATTTTAATATAAATAAATTAATATTTTAGGTTTATTTTTGATACATAAATTTTTAATATATATGAAAGTATTATTACATATTGAAATATATAGCTTTTGATAATACAAAACTTATCTACTGATATCCTTATCATAGAACGGCTAATAATAAGGCTAAGTAAAGTAACACCGTATGCCAGATAAGTAAAGTTTATATTTCACACAAACTTGATTTGTACACTGTTAAATGTACTCATTGCTTTTCAAGTTCAACGTGAAGCTCTATACTTTGGATTCTACTCTTGGTTTTAATCTTGGCGCAATCCGGTAACGGAAGAATATTATATGTATTATGTCTTCGTAATTTAATGTCATATTTATCGGATTTTATTGAAAGCTCATTATAACAGCTTATATATGTAAAAGTCTACCACGTGACTTCAGCAAACTTACAAGTACTATAACTAGGTAACTCGCGACATTGGATCACATTAAAATATATAGATAAAGGCAAGAGGTCGTTAATTATTACAAGTAAAAAATACAAAATTATATTTTTTATGCACTTAGTAATAATAATTATCACATATAAACATATATTACTTGCCATATATATTTAACATAAATATATATTTGTATATAATACATACAACCTATATATTATTATTTAGATTAAATGACAAAATTGAAATATGTAATAATTATAATTTCATATTTCAATAATTTTACATTTATAACTACAGGTATAAAAAACATACTAAAAAAATTTCATGAAATGGATAAGCACAGATCCATTGAATTATTTTTCAAGATACATCCCTGTTTATTATTATATAATTATATAATTAAATATTAATGTTAACCCCTTAAATGAAAATAAATATCAAATATTCTATTATTAAATATTAATAAAACTAATTTATATATATGATGTAATATATTAATAATTATAATAATTACATATAATAGACATTAAACTATGATATATTACATAGATAATCAGGAAGACAAGTATATTATTAAATATTTAATGAGTTAAAATAATTTGTTATCTTTTTTTAAAAGATTTTGCATTATAAATATTATATATTAAAACCTATAAATAATTTAAAAAATTGAATTGTCTGAAAATTGTAATTAATGAAATATAATTGAATAATAATAAATATAATAAATATAATATCATAATAATAGAATAAAATATTATAAATTGTAAAAATATTATTACTACCCATTTAAGGGGTTATACACATTTTTTATACATTAGTCTGGTATTTATATAAAATACATGCAGAAAAATAGAAAATACAAAAAATTTTATCAAGATATTTTTATAGACAAATTTGCAAATTTAAGTATACAATAGTTATTGTAATTATTATATATCACCGGTAAAAAATAAATATACAAAACAATATTTTCCAAGATTTACACTGTCATCCTTGAGTAAAGACATCAGATGAAGATATCTCTTCATCAATTAATGATGGTACTTCTTGTATATATGTATAGGCCCGTAAAAAATGAAATTCAGTTATATAAACAAGTAATAATACAATAACAAATGGAGACCATCTTACAAGCCTGATATATTCTCGCATACGATCAAAAAATATTGCCAAAAGCAGATAATCCATGACAGCATGGAAATTTAAAAATTTCCAGCAAAAAGCTATTACTGAAAAAGATGAACTTCTGAATATAGTTGTTTGTCTATCATAAAGATGTTCTCTACTAATTGATGGTGTTCTATAATCAGTCTCAAGAAGATCCTGGTATAAAGATATATATCGATTCCAGGCGGCACTGGTGAGGAACAAATGGACGGTCATAAGTAATATATTACGAAATGCTGCATTTGATGTTTTCAATGTTACATTTCCAGGTTCCAGAACTGAAGATACAGGAAGTTGAGGCAGCTTATCATAACCTCCACGTCTACTTGAGTTACGGGCAAGAAATTGATATAGGCCAATAATAAAAGCAACACAACCCAAACCATCACAGATACCATCAATAATATAACCAGTTGAACCAATATCTGATCGTTCACCATTAATCTTTGCTCTTTTTCTAGCAACATGTCCATCTAAATCATCCAACCATGTCCTTGCTTGAAAAATTATTACACCTAAGCGTCTATAAGATAATGAATCACTTGATACACATTTACCAGCTGCCACTGCTATGAATATATGAAAACAACTGATTGCATTTGGTGTCACCCATATCCAAGAGCTACTTATTTGCAATAAATCATCCATGATAGCTGCAAGAGGGCTCAGAAGAAAATGATTTGGATGATCAAGCATTAATCCTTTTACAGTCACTGTACATAATGGATTAAAATCACAAGGTATGATTGAAATATATGGTGTACCATTTAATGTAGGTCTTACATCATAATTTTGTATTCTAGAATACAACAAAAGGTCCATTCCAAGAAAGTATAATGTCAATAATATCAAAATTGTTAGGAATGACCTGCTTACTAGAGTTGTTGTACCAAACATTTTTCATATAAATTTGGCACGTAATTATTGGTAAATATATTTTATTATATTTTCACTTATTATATATATATTTTGTTATTATCTTTTTTCTTTATATTAGATTTAAATGTATTATAGATATGTAATTAATTTAAATGCATTATTATTAAATTTTAACAATAAATTCATTGATTAATAATTTCGCTATATATCTTTGGAATAAAAAAACACAATCATTTATTATTCTGAAATAGTAATTTTTTTATATTTAACTTTTTCGATGTATGTATCTAAATGACTCATGTATCACAGTTAAAAAATACAGTCGTTCAACTTTTGAACTCATCACGTGACTAATTCACTTGACTACGATGATTTTTATATTCTTTTGCAGGATGAACCTGTATATGTACATATAACAATTGTATTATCATAATTAACAGTATTTTGCCGTGCAATGAAGAATGTGATATTCAAAGATTCGCAGTATGATATGATCCCACATGGTTACATGAAATCTTACAGATTCTGAATGTATTATTTCGATCAATTGATATATATCATATTAATATGTTTCATGCGAAGATTTTAAAAGCATTTTGAGCTTATTTAATGTATTATTTATCAATATAATATGACATTTTTTTTAATCAATTTTTAATCGCACTATTGTCACATAATTTCTTTTTTTAATTGTTCAATAAAATAACTAATTATAAAAATTTTTATTCCGTAATATTTTTTTTTATCATACATGATTGTTTATCAAATTATGCACAATGATCTTATGAAAACTATTATAACCGGCAAATTGTACTAAAACGCATTACACTTTAAACAGATGAAATACTGCCGGATCTTGTTTGACTAATAGAATGGCGATGCAACGCAATATTTTTATATGTGCGCCTGCGCGAATTTATGAATTACTAAAATTTTTACGAAAAATGATTTTTATGATTTAAATATGTACGTATATTACACGAATAAAATTATAAATAATCTAATAATATAAGAAACATATAATTAATAAAATTATAAATATTATATATATTTATATATATATAAAAAATATTTTTATATTCTTTTGTATTAGATATTCTATGTATTGAATAATAACCTACTTATATTAAAAAATTTAAAAAACAAATAAAAAATTTAACAATATATTCAAAATATTAGAATTTTATATATATAATATATAATGTTATAAAGAATATTTTATATATAATGATAGCTATTCATAAAGATGTATATGTATATGCATGCTTTGTACTAGTCTAAAATGTTTGAACTTATATAGAATTGTTATACTATATATAATGAAATTTATCAATATTATTTATTTATAATATTATTTATAAATTTTAAAATTTTCTGTTAAATTTATTTTAAATTTTTAATGTATTATATGTAATATTATTTATAAAAATAATTTTTTTAAAATAGAAATATACCTGAGGTAATTGTGTGCTCTTTCCACATCCAGTTTCTCCAATTAAAACTAATGTTTGATATTTTTCCAATAAATAAATAATGTGACTTTTATACTTAAATGTAGGTAATCGTTGACGCTGCATATTAAGTGCAAGAGAATGATATGCATTATAAACAAATTGTGTAGACGAATGAGCTTCTATATCTGACTTATCTTCTTGCCACATACTATCTCCTGTAATTTTAAAAATGATCAAATGTATAAAAGTTTTTTTAAATATAATATGTATTTAAACATATATTAATAATATATATATAATACATAGTATTTAAAATAAATATTAGTTTAATACAGGTTATGTTATATAGTATACATTTTATATAAAGAAATAAATCTATATATGTATAAAATATAATAGAGAAAGTACACAATATTATGTTCAAAAAACTTATAGTAAAAAAATGGAATAGAGTTTCAATAAATAAAAAGTTACTTTAAATATTCGAAGTAACTACGAATAATAAATCTAATAAAAATTTTACTTACTAGGTTTAGAAAAAATTGGTTTCACATTCATTTTATATAATTGTATAAATAGTACAATGAAATAAAATTACGTCTTAAATATGTCATTAAATTATAATGTTTTATATTTAAGTAATAGTCGCAATTCAAACAAACAAAATATAATATCCGGTACTTGCATATAAACACGCAATCTTACATTTATTAAATTCTTTAAAACATTTCAATTTTCTCCTACAGATGACATTGTATATTATTTGAAAATTTGTATTTATTCTAAAATGTTAATATTATAATTATTAGATATTATTATTATTTTATTCATTATAATTTGTATTTTTTTTTCTATAATGAATTGTTATACAAATAAAGAAAATTTATTTAATAGAAAATTTTATTATTTTTTATTATATTTCGTTTAAATTAAATAGTAAAAAAGTAAAAAATTTTATTTTTGTATTCAGGTATAGAGGTATTACGTATAATTAATTTCAATTCTAAAATTTTACAATAATGTCATAAGATACTTAAAAAATATTTAAAAATATAAAAATATAAAGATAAAAAAAATTAACAATATAATAAACATAATAATATACATATTTAAATTTTAAGTTTAAAAAATATAATAGTAATATTCTATATAAAATTAATACACAGGTAGTATATAAAATGTTTTTTTTATGTTAAATTTGTGAAATTTTGAAAATAATTGAAAATGAATTTTTATTATAATTATATATTATATAATCAATTGTAATATATATACAAAAGTAAGATATATACTTTGTACATAAATAATTTTAATAATAATTATCTTGTATTTTTTTTAAATATATGAATATAGATATCTAATATAAATATATTAATACTAACTTTGTTGTTATTGGATATGTTTTAATATAATCTTATTCAGTTTATCAATTCATGTAATATTTATTATATAGAAAATAATATTACACAGTTATTCTGATTGTATCATACTTTGTATATGAAAACAATTTGTACTAGATAATAGCTAAAGAGGATTAATGATGATACAGTACTAGTTTTGTGTTTAATATTATAAATCAATTGATCATATTCATATAATATACAATAAATTGCTTTTAATTTTACATTTTCCATATTATTTAAAAATATTTTATTATATTATTGTAATCATATATAATCTTTTGATATGCAATTTTTTATTAAAATAAAACTGTGAACACGGTATTTTCTATCATTGTTATTGCAAATAGCATTTGATATTTTTTACTCACCAGTATTTTTTTGTACATAAAGTTATTATATATCTTCAAAAAAAAATATTTATAAATTGCACTCTATGCTATTAATAAAAGAATTATTAAAAAATGACAACTTTAATAATTGAAGAATAATGTATATTTTCATTAAACATAATTTAAATCTAAATTGTTTTCTAATCTAAATCATTTAAAACAAACCAAACTTTTTTATTATGAGCTACATGAGTTTCCAACTAAATTATGATATTTATATTTTCTTTTATTTATTATAAGAAAATTATAATACAAGTTGAAATTAGAATATCAAAATTTAAATTATTTTATTTAAATATGTTAAATAAAATAAAAAATTATTTGAATATTGAAAATTATTTAAATAATTTAATAATAAAAAAATCCTTTATCCTTTGCAAATTATTTTTAGAATAAAAATAATAAACTAATTGAAATAACTTATTATTTTGAAATTTATTATTTAAAAAAAATTGCGAAATTGTTTGCAACTTTTAAACTATCAATTTGTTAATATGATTACACATTTAATAAATTCTATAACTGTTTTTTTTTTACTTTTGTTGAAAATTAAATAATATGTAATTCATATAATTTAATATATATGTATAGATTATATTAGAAAACAAATATTTATCATAGTTTATAAATAAAATTCATTTCATATTTTTTGTCAGAAAATAAACACTGGATGAGTTTTAAATTATTTTAGGAATGTATTTTGATTTGCAAACAAATATTATATCTTTCATTGATATGAAATTTTAATATATAATTATGTTTATGTATCAGAAAAAATGAAAATTATTTACGGAATATTTCCCATAAATATCTTTTTCAAGCACCATATCACACATCATCTATTTTTATGTATCAGAAATATATTATTTATAAGATTATCTGTATGTTTCTCTTTTTTTAAATTTAGCACAGTGTATATTATGTACGGACATCAATGTGGAGAACATAGGAAACATGAATGGTAGTAATCTAAGATGGTAATTTATGATGATGTAGATATATACGATTGCCAATTAAAATCATAAAAATGGTCGCAATAAACACACATAAATGTCTGAACACAAAAGTCATTAATACAATATTAAACTTTTTGTTTTTAATGCTCGTCTATCATGACGATGCATGGATAACAAATTTTAAATGTCCTGACTTGTCAATTAGCTGTTAAAATTATCTATAGATTAAATCTGCAATAGAACATAAAAAAATATTAGGCCGTAGCTTCTGCATCTCCATTGGTTTCTGTTTCAGCACATTTTTCATCAAGTTTTTTTTTCTTTTCAGGACTGGCACCATCAGTAGCAGTATCCTCTGTAGTTTCATTTAAAGTTGTTGATTTCCTTTTTATACAACAGCTATCAACAGATGCATCTATAAATAAAAATATCATTTAATATTATTCTTATAAATATAAATTGAATTTCTTACTGATTTTAATTATTTATAATACATATTTTTTTAATAATTATTTATTATTAGTTTAATTATATTGCATTTATATAATTTAATCACAAAATTATAAATTTTATATAATTTATATATTATATATATTTTATATAATTTATTAATTTAATTTTTTATCAATACCTGTAGAATCCCCATTTTCTGCTGATTCTACTTCTTTATTTTCTGACTCTTTTTCTTCATTTGAGCCATTTTCTTTGGTTTCTTTGGCATCTCCATTTTCAGATGTTTTTGAATCTTCATCAACTTCTTGAACTGTTTTTTTTTCTTCTTCTACTACTTTCTTTTCTGGAGTTGTAGCAACTTTGGTGTCTCTATAAATTAAAATCGATCAATATTTCAATTAACATAATTTATAATTTAAAATTATAATTTAAAAAATATGTAATAATATGCGTATAAAAATAACATATAACATCAGTGACATTTATATTTTTATAAATCAAATACATATTACATTTTATAAAAAAAAAAAAAATATAAAAAAAAGTTAAATAACATGATATATTTAAAATGAAGTTCTATCTCTATCATATTTTTTCTTTACTATGATTAAACAGCTACAGACAAAGATGGAGCGGCAAGGGAAAGAAATAGAGATAGGACGCCAACCGTAGCGGCACCTACCGATGTTAATATTATCCTGCTTTCGTCTCTCCCTTCTCTCTTAACCCACTCCTTTTAACAGAACACACGTACATGTACGCACACATACAGATTGTTTCGGCGCGGCAAATCGTGGATGTTCGTGGACCGTAATATATACATCAATGTTACATATACATTTGTTCCTATAGAGTTGGAACTTAAATAAACCTAAATAGCACCGATGTTTATTATTACAAACATTATATATTTTGTCTTAAAAATGTGAAGTGAAAAGTAAAATACCAGTATTTTCGACGTTTAGTCGGTAAGAGAGGGCAGATCGATACGTTGTCCATTTTCTTTTTAAGATGCGTGTACAATCATCCATAAAATATTTCTACTATTTTTTATGTATGAATAATCAAAATCACCCTTGTTTATGTAAAAATGTTCAAATTATTGTTAACATTAAAAAATTACAATTTTATATTATAAAACATTCTGAGTTGCAGTTATATTTATTCGTTACATTTATAAAAATATTAAAAATTATATAAATAAAAATTGTTTTAATACTAAATAAATAATAATGAAATATCATGATTGAAATATTCATGAAAAATAAATATTAATAACGAATAAATGCATATTGTAGTTGGTTACTCTCATATAGTTGAAGCTACAAGTGTGGAAAAATAAAAGGTAAACGATGCCGCCAGAAAAGCGGCTCTGCAAGTAGAGCACATGTCATGGTAAAAGCAGGTAATCCTGAGAACGTAACGCGCCTTACAAATCAAGCTGAGAATATCATGTAGAGAGAGAGTATCCCCTCTCCGTTGTCCCTTTCTCGTGGTTATACATAAGTACTATGTACGCTTTCAAAAGTATACAATCAACTATGATGCAAATAAAATTATCAAAACAAGAATATTGCTTTCAATTTAAGTTTAAAACAGATGAATAATGAAGATTATGAAACGATTATATTGTTGATCCATTGTTACTGTACTCGGTAAAGAAATATAACAAAAGCATTCGATGAAAATATGTGTGATTTTCTTACAATAGATCAATAAAAAAAATCTGTAATACTTACTTAGTTTCTGTATCCGCCATGTTGATTAATTTAATCGTGTGATCGATAAAGCACTTAGATACAAAACGCACTTAATAAGGCTTGCGTTTTCTACGCACCGGTAAGCAGACGTAGAATCCTGGTATCACTACTGCCGCGTAGCCGCGTACCGACGCGCAAATGGCAGAGACTCGCACACTGATTCGCTCGAGACCCGAGTTACTCGGCCCGGCCGGCAGGCCGGCGGCCTTCAAACACTTTTCTTTCCCGCTCGTTTACAGATGGCGCATTGATCAATCTCTTATATGTATATTTACTATAAATATAATTTTAAAATAATAAAAAATTGTTATCATTCGTAAAAAAAAAATTTCCTTTAAAATATTTATAAAATGAGTATTATCAATAATACTTATTAATTTCATAATATATATATATATATATATATATATATATATATATATATATAAATTTGCCGCTATATTTTAATCATTAATACAGCATGGTTCAACGAAATTTCTCGTAAAATATATTGAAATTTTAATAAATACCTAATATAAATAAAATTGTTATTACTTCTATTTTCTTTCGAAAAAAAGGTATGATATATGTAAAATATAATATATTTAATTAAAGCTGTCAACGGTTATGTAGTTTTAGATTCGTAGTAATGGTAGCTTCGCCACTACCGCATTGTTAATGCCCCTCCAAATAACAACTGACCAATTGAATCTTGTCTTACGAAACTCATAAAAAATCCCCGCGCTTCCGGCGCTGGTGAATGTATTGTTGAGAAACATGTATTTAACACTATATCGTTTTTAAAATAATGACAATTAAATTTTATGTGTGATTTAAAACATTGATTAGATTCTAATGAAATTTCATGTGTACTAAGGATAATATACAAGATATAAATGGAAACAAACTGCAGAAAGTTCTAGAAGTTTCGCGTATGGTTCCATTTCCGGTGTATATTAAAAGGTGCGCGATGCTTTCAGGTTGATCCACGCACTCGTCTGAAAGGCTTTGCTGCATTTATGTACGTCCATGTTACAGGTTGCCTTTATTATGAAATAGTAAAATCATTTTTTTTGTTTTAATGTTGTTTTATTATGATTTTAATCTTAAAAGTTTTACAAAGAATTTAGATAGAAGTAAGACTTAACTCACGATGAGGTAATAAATATCTTTACAATAGATTATACATTAATTTTCAATAATTTTATGTAATACATATTATTTATATTTTCATATATTATGTATGTATGTACACGCATATATAAATATGATTATATACATATATACTATATGTATATATATGTATATATATATTACATTACTTATAAATATAATATTAATATTTGTATGTAATTTTATTTTCTTTTTATATAAGAAAAAAAGAAAGTAAATTAAGTATGTGATTCTAAAATCATTTATATCATATTGTATGATATTGTAGAAACTTCATATAAAACAATACTATCTACAATTTACTAATTATCTGTAATTTTATCAATGTCTTTAATATTTTTAATGTAATTTTGAAAATTGAGGAAAATATTTTTTTATAATTCTATGCAAATTAATATATATTCAATAATTTATCAATATTCATATTTGCAAAAATTATATATTATAAATTATACGAACGTATTAATTTAATCTATTAAGAAATATATTTTACTTTTCCGTATATGCCACGTGCCAGAGTCTACGTAAGCATGAAGATAACACCAAGCAGCTGCTATGAATGCAATGCAGGTGAAGACGTGTGAAGCAGATGCTTTTTGAATATTTTTCATACAATAAAACACTTGAAGATACATTCATGCTAGATTGAGTTAGATTTTCAATGAAACTTTCCATAAAAAAAGAAATGTGCAATAATATTTTTTAACATTTCTATTTATGATATGAAGCGAATAAATATTTATTTTTTTAATGCATATATAAAAATACACATAAAATAAAATTGTACTTATCTATTTATAATGAAATTATTTTTAATAGTAATTTATTTAAAAGATATATCTATATATGAACATATTTTGATATGTACTTTAATATAAATATAGAACTTTCTTAATATTCAAAGATATTTTATTATATTTTATTATCAGAAATAACTATGTAATTGGTGACATACAGCATTACTTGGTAAAATTAAATTTCGTTTTAGTGGGTCAGTGGAAGTTTCAGCCACAAGCTATTTCGATGACAGTAACCTATATTTTCACTGGCTTTGCAGTGTCAAACTAAAGATAGCATCCACGCATCTAAATTTTCATTTCACTGGACTAAATTCCCACTTTTCTTGATGCATTCTTAGTCATTATGATATAGATTATCATACATGTCTCGTTAATTTTGCGCATTATAAAAAAAAATATAGAAGAATTTATTAAATATAGAAAAAATTTATAAGAAATATATGTATAAATATATAAATACATATATAAATATACAATAAATACATGTATAAAAATAATAATTTATATCATGTTTTTATATTAATGTTATATATATCAATATATATATATATATATGTATATATATATAAAATTTTCAAAATTTATAAATTTTTTTAATATTAAATACATTCTTTTATTATTATTAGTTATTTAGCTTTATCAAGAAATTCTATATACAGAAATTTTTAAAAAGAATATTCAAAAAATGGTATAAGCTGAATCTTGATTTTGCTACTTTCCTTCCACAAATTGGCACATCACTTTCAGCTTCAGGTCATGGAATCAATAGAACGCGTGGTCGCGCGCATCCTATAGGGTAGAAATAAATTGAAGTTAATACAAGAAATATATTTGCAAGCGCAATTTTAATAGACATGTATTTTGTTACTTTTATTTAATCTAACAATGTATTAGCAAGATTATACGCAAAAATTCTGTATATATCTAAAAGGTCTGACCTGATCGTACCTTTTTGACTTGATTGTAACCGGTTCGTCCCGTCCTCCACCGACTCCACCTAGCTTTCTCGACCGTATCTGCCGCTCTAAAATTGTGCTTATATGCCTATCTACAGTTAGAAACTAATCGCCAAAGGATTATCACAGGTCAGCGAGTATTCAACCTTCCGTGTACGTACTACCACGGTTCAATACCACAAAACAGGTCGATTATTATTAATAGCAATGAAATTACCGAATTGATGATAAACTTAACGCAGTAATGATTTGTATTAAAATAACTATAATATATATTAATCAAATAAAATATTAGAAAAAGAATATATTGTAAAAATAGTTTTACACATGTAACATTTAAATTTTTTTAAATTATTAGAAAGAAGAAATTTATTAATGTTATTGAAATAAAATAATTCTACATGTTAAGAAAAGCAAGTTTTATTATTATTCATATTATAAAAATATAATATAAACAATATTTAATATTTATAAAAATAATATTATAAATAAATTTATATAATTTTGTAAAGACTGAATTAACAAACTATCATATATTCATATGATTTAAATAAATTTTAAATTTACTTTATAATCATAAATTTAATCAAATAATACAATAAATTAAAAGTTGTTTAATTATTTTGTCAAATTATTAAGTATAGTTTTATTTAATAATATGTTAAATAAATAAATTTCAATCTAATAAATTATTTGTAATCACAATTATTTGTATATCATAATTTCTTTTTTGATAACTTAAAGAATTGAAACTTTAATAATTTTTATATAAACAATTGTACAAAATATTTCACGATTCAAAATGAAAACCTTGATTTTAGAAGTGAAAAAGAAGTTCCTTTAAATTTAAAGTACGTCAACGCTTTCGTTTGGTGGCAGCACCTGTCAAGAGTATCGTTAAATTTTCTAGTGCTACATCTACCGGCGATAAGTCAAAGCAATAGCTGATCTGTGCAGTACAGTAGCTCTCTTGCTTCGTAGAGCGGCACTTCGTCACTTTCGCATCCGTGCGAAATCCCGAACGAACAAGTGGAGCGAGCCGCGTCGCCATCTTTAGGAACGGTACCGACTGTCTCTGCTACCGCCGCCTGCTTCGTTTTAAGAGCTTAAAATCAATCCGCGATTATAGTAAAAGAATTTTGTGTGTTAGTGCGATAGCGCGTAATTTATTTTCTATCGCGAGAAGACGCGATACACATTCGTTTGCGATGTTCATTTAATACGTTCAAAATTTGTGTGTGCGTACTGTGCAAGTTGAGCAGACGACGTTTCGCAAGTATTTCAAGGGTTGAGAGCGATCGAAACCGACGTTGTTTTCTCGCTTTATCGACCCTTGTTTAAACTATTGTTTCTGACCTGCAATTTTGTCATTCGGTTCCTATTATTTTGAGAACTAGTGTTTAGTGTTTTGATTTGTCAAAGAAAGACAAACACATCGGAGAAAGACGTTTATAGTGCATGAGAATACAAGTCAAAGTAGAAATAAAGAGAGAAGGATAAGAAAAGAAAGACTGAGACAGCTCTAGTAGACAACGACAACGACGGGCTAGTACGATTGACAGGAAAGATGGCGCGAGGTGCGGACGAGGATTAATGCTGACCCATTTTTCCGCGCGAAATCGCTCGGTCTTACTTTGTCATACAATTAAGGAACTACTAAGTTTCCAATCGAGTGTGAAAAATTGCGGTTAAGTGAATTAAATTAAAAAAAAAGAAAGAGGTAATCTGCTATTGGTACGAGTGTATCCATCGTGCAGTGTGCGCGTGTGCCCAGTTCTTGCATAAGTGTGAGTGCCCTTTCGGACATATAGGTCTCATAGGGCCAGCATCGACGAGTATCGGATAAAGACTATTGAAAACCGTCGGTGACAATAAGAGTGAGTATAATAAAGGGAAACATAGGAAATAATAACAATTTCGAAAAGACTGGAGTTTGGTGGGGCCTTGATAGGCTCAGCTACGGAAGAGGACAAACGAAAACGAAAACGAAGACGCGGTCTTCTGGAACTTCTCGAGCTGTATAGAGCCCTGGCAGGCTCGGGTACAAGCGCGGCTGCTAAGATGGGCAACAATGCCGCGACTGCAAACAAAAAGGTTGACGCTGCTGAGAGCGTCAAGGAGTTTCTTGACAAGGCAAAGAAAGAGTTCGAGGACAAGTGGAAAAGAAACCCGACGAACACTGCTGGCCTCGATGATTTCGAGCGGATCAAGACACTCGGTACTGGCTCGTTCGGTCGTGTCATGATAGTGCAACATAAACCAACTGGGGAATATTACGCCATGAAGATACTCGATAAGCAAAAAGTCGTGAAACTTAAGCAAGTCGAACACACGCTTAATGAAAAAAGAATATTGCAAGCGATTAGCTTTCCATTTTTGGTGTCCTTGCGATTTCACTTCAAGGATAATTCTTACCTTTACATGGTTCTCGAATATGTGCCGGGAGGCGAAATGTTCAGTCATCTACGAAAGGTTGGTCGTTTTTCGGAACCACATTCGCGCTTTTACGCGGCACAAATCGTATTAGCGTTTGAGTATCTTCACTACCTCGACTTAATCTATAGGGACCTCAAGCCAGAAAATCTGTTAATCGATTCACAAGGCTATTTAAAAGTCACAGATTTTGGTTTCGCTAAAAGGGTACAGGGTAGAACATGGACCTTGTGCGGTACGCCAGAATATCTCGCGCCTGAAATAATTCTCAGCAAAGGTTATAATAAAGCTGTAGATTGGTGGGCGCTTGGTGTGCTTGTCTATGAGATGGCTGCCGGTTATCCACCGTTCTTTGCTGATCAACCAATTCAAATTTATGAGAAGATTGTTAGCGGAAAACCACGATTTCCGTCTCATTTCGGATCTGATTTGAAAGACTTACTACGTAACTTGCTACAAGTTGATCTTACCAAAAGGTATGGGAATTTGAAGGCTGGTGTAAACGATATCAAGGGTCACAAGTGGTTCGCCAGTACCGATTGGATAGCTGTCTTCCAAAAGAAAATCGAGGCTCCATTCATACCAAAATGTAAAGGGCCAGGAGACACGAGCAATTTCGACGATTATGAGGAGGAGACACTTAGGATTTCACTGACGGAGAAGTGCGCCAAGGAATTCGCCGAATTTTGAATTCCCATATTGATTCAAGATGGATATATGTGTCGTGTATGCATTCATATGCGATGGTTTGTCGCTCATTGCTCGCTTTTCTTCGAGCGAAAAAGATAGATGAAGTAAGAGAGAGACAGTAATATTAGGAGAGAGTAAGAGAGAGCGAGAGCGACAGAGAGAGAGAGAGAGAGCACGAAAGAGTCTAAGAAAGATAGTGTAAATGAAAGAATGTATTATATGTATGCAAGATGGGAAGAAAGCGTGTACGTGTGTGTGCATGCACATGTATGATTGTGTGCGTTTGCGAGTACGCTCGGTACAATAATGTACAGAAGAAAGATGGTTAGAAGAATGACCAAAAAGGAAAAAAAGTAAAGAAGATAAATATATAAAAAAAACAGATGGCAGATTTTGCGATTTATTTTGTGATCGAACCTCTGAAAAGAATGGAAACGGAAAGGATAATATACAAAGAAAATACGATGAATCCCCCCGTTCAATCGATAAAAAGAAAGAGAGCATAAGAGATAAACAAACAGATATAATATATTGAAAAAAAATTACAATATATTACATTAACAGATATCATATATAAATATACATAGCATACACTCACACACATCACAATTCTCATCGGTACCGTCATTATACCATCATAAATTTTTACATGAGAAAGATCTTTTTCTTTTTTTTTTTTTTTTTTTTTTTTTTTCCTCTCCCAATCAAGTATATAACTGACATATTGAGGTATGAGGGTGACGATATATAATATATACGTATATGTGTGTGTTCCCTAAGATGGCTTTATTATCCGGTTTAGCGGAGAAGGCGGGTGTAAAGATTATTCTCGATAATTATTATTAATATGGAAAAACATCATTTTTGCTGGAATTGTTTTGTACATATAGTGTTGCTATATACTCTTTATGAATGTTCCCCAATTCCCTTTTACACCACGCCCCTCTTCTCCACCATTCTGCCTCTTTTAGCACATATAAAAAAAAAGACTTTTCGATAGAAAAGGATATAATATACACCAATAATCATGCCATGCATTATTATCTATTTGTCTACGAGCATCTTCTCTTCATTCTTGTTGAGGAAGAATTTTTGCCACGATATGAATCGTGTTTATATTATAGCAGCTAGTCGTCACATGATTATTCCGCTGGAGTAATAATTATATACGACTCGTTTTTCATCGATCGTTTAATGTGGACACCATTTGAGAGAAACAAAGAGATAATGAGAGAGAAACAGAATGCGAGAGAGAGAGAGAGAGAGAGAGAGAGAATGAGAGAATAAGAGGGAGAGAAAGAAACGTAGATTCTTATATTATAATATATCAAATCTTATTAAAAGAAAAAATGAAAAAATACTCGTTATATACTGGCTACAGATGCTCGTTGTTGAATTATTGTACTTTACATAAATAATACAGAAAAAGAAAGAAGCAAGAATAAGAGTGAAAGAGAGAATGAGAGCGAGTGAGCGAGCGAGCGAGCGAGCGAGAGAGAGAGAGAGAGAGAGAGAGAGAGAGAGAGAGAGAGAGAGAGAGAGAATAATTGTGAAAATACGATCGACGGAGTACGAGTAAAATAGGAATTCATTTTTGGAACGTTTTTAATAGAGGACCACTGGCGTTCGTACATAGATACATTATAAGAATATTCATATATAATTATATCGCCTTAAGTTGCTGTGCGCAAAAGAAGCAACGTTATCTTTTATATAGAGCTGCACTTTTAGTACAGAATGTAAATGTGTGGACAATCCTGTATTCGTGCAAGAGGAAAGAGAAAAATGAACGATGCACACGCGCGAGATGGCCAAAGGAAATTGCGCGTGTAGAACGTGAAATGAAATTTCATTAAATGATACATATATATATATATATATATATATATATATATAGAAGCGTGAAAAACAAAATCGTGAGAAAACTATTCAAAGAAACAAATCATGGAAAAAGAAGAAAAAAAAAACAAACAAATAAATGATTAAACGGAAGAGAATAAAAGAATAAGATAATGAAATATATTATAGAACAGCAACAGCAGCAGTAGTAAATGACAGCGAGAATATTATCGTTGAAAGACGATATATTTGTTAATTTTCTTTTCTTTTTTTTTTTTTAGATCGATTAAAACTTCTTTCCGAGATCGAGCATACAAGATATTTTATGGCATCATATCTTGACGGTATTGAAATTCGATGATCAAATATAAGAAACGCGAGAAACACGAGAATCAAAGAAATATCAATACCAACGACGAGCCCTGACCGTCGACGATTGGACACGCATCGATAGCGCATAATGAGAATCGATTTTACGATGAAACACGCACGAGAAAGTCCAACACACGCATAACTTCGTTAAAAAATATATACACTGTGTATGCGTACATATTACGATATGATATTACGAAAGTTTCTTCTATTGGCTTGTGACATAATCGAATCCAAAGAGTTGTCAATCGTTGCATGATAGAAAAGAATTGTACAATTGAATGTTAGCACGAAGTCATTGAAAACACGAGGGGCGTTGTATCAATTTGATTTTGATAGCTTGATCAAATCGACTAATCGTTGCGAGAACAAGAAAGCAACAGAGAGAATGAAAGAGAAAGAAAGGACACGCAGATAAATTTATGGTAACATTGGGCGACTACTGCAGTTCCCACTTTTGTTCAAATTCGTCCTCTTTTCAAGTGAGATGAAACTTAACGATCGAAGTTGCAACTAGAAAGAGAATGGCTGAACGGGAAAGGAGAAACTTAACGGGTAACACAAGTCGAATTATATTTATATATATTACGAGACTTACTTTCTTTGCTTTGAACGTGCTCGTATTTGCATATCATTTTTATAAATTCGAAATTCTTTTTCAACAAGGATGTAATTAATGATTATTACGAATTCTCGAAAATTCACAAAGAATTTCTTCTTAAAGCTAGAAAGAACATGAAATTCTGTCACTCGTGCAGCAAACAAGCACGTTGCAGTATAATGTAAGCACAAATCGTATAGGCAAAAGAACATCTATTTATATATCCTTTTTTGCCGCGTTCGTGACTTCTAGGATGTGTATTACTTTAAGCATACACATGCAGTTCATTTATTCGTTCGTGCTGCAGTATCGAATAAAAAAACGAAGATAGGCTTGGTTTGAACAAAGAAACATAAAGTCTTTGGCAAGAAATTGCACGACCGAGATATGATATAATTTTAAATCGTCCGATTTTGGTTGTCATTCGATCCATATATATAAATTGAAATATTTATTTTAATGTGACGATATCACACGACCACTAACATCACGTCATCCTTTTTCTAAATTTCGAGTTTGAAAAATCATAAGATAGTTAGTTTTTCGCATAGTTTTCTTATTCAATTTTTTTTCTTTTATTGATGTTCAAGAAAAAGGAAAAAAAAAAATTCTTTTCTTAAATCATTTGGATAAAATGGATGCAAATCCATTGCTACAATTGCTACAATTCGTGCAAGAACATCATCTAATAATATTTATTTGGATGTGTTAAATTTATTGTATTGCTTCGGATATTTAAATTTATATAAGGGAAAGGGATAGCAGGATCTAGTCCTTTTAAAAATTTTTAAAAGTAATTTTAGTTTTACATACTTAAACGTTCTTAGCAGAAAGTTATTCCTACGTTTCTTGATTTCATTTGATTGTGATCAAGTGATACGCTATCAAAAATTTTCAAATCGAGTATCAAAAAAAATTGTTATGAATGAGATAACTTTAAATGCATGAAAATGAAATTTCATATCGTGTTTTGTGTGATAGGTCATATCTGATCAATTGCTTTTAACTGACCTAGAATAACTACAAAAGGCTAATCATCTAAGCTTTATCACAGGATTTGAAAAGATAAGACCTCCTCCATTCCTGGCTTCTGTGGATACGATAAAATAGCTTCTATTCGAGTGATTGCAGATTATAACGTCTTAATGCGATGCCAATGCAAATTCGGAATAATATTTATTTCCGGAGAATAACAGAAGTTGAATCGTGTTCATTTAATAAAAGTTGTTGTACAGGTCTTTTTTCTATTTGGATAATTCTTTAACAAACAAACAGCACGTACGGTATACGATCCTTTGTGAATATTAGCTGTAAGTAATCGTTTAAAATCGCATTATATATACTAGTGGTAATTATTGTAATTTTCCTGTGTTAAGCAATTATTTTCCGTGAATATTTTTCACGGGATATCCTCGTTTTCGATTACGTGTCGGATCTCTTTGTAAGTAACATTATTCGTTTTCCAATTTCTTCTTCGATTCGATATTTCTCCACAATGCCGCACCGTTATTGTCCTATTCATAAATAAATTATCTCTCCTGATTCAATGAACAATCGTTACGCAATCGTTCCATCAGGCGCGTGTGAATATGATATAATTTTAAATATTCGCACGTATAAATACTTACGTAATCATATCGAAAGCATCTTCGTTCGAGTTCATATCGTAAATGGTAAATTGCATCCGTTACAAACGCATGCATTCTGGTAATAACACTTTGTTCCCCCCATTGTGTTTAGTACTTTACGTTTGTCCTTTGTCTGCTATCTCTTTGGATGATTGTGCTCGTCGGCTAAGGGAAGGACCTATTTTAGGACTCGTTATTAACCACCTAGGAATTCTATCTCCCTTTTCCCTCGTAACAACAAGTTTATGATGGAACGAAAATTCGGTGGTCGGATAATTTCGTAAATGAATTAAAGAAATTAATTTAACGAATTCGAGAAGAAAATCGTGAACGCACAAAAATATATAAGCATGTATATATATATATATATTATGAGGAGTTGTAAGTTCGAGATCACTTCGCATTTATTTTAAATATGTGCAAAATTTGTGTGCAATAATTTTTTTTTCTTTCGTGGAAGAATTATTTTTGTAGAGAAAGAATTTGTATATATATTATTTTATTTAATGTAGCTTATTATATTTTTAATTGAATTATTCTATTATTAAAGTATTTTCATTTAGAGGATTTAAAAATAATAATAATTTAATGGAAAATTCTATCATATTAATCATGGCTTCGTTATTTTTATAAGAATTTATATATTTAATCAATATATCCATTAATTTTTATTATTTTTTTTCCCCCCCAATGTTTCCAAGAACTTTTCATAAAAATTTCGTTTCGCATGGAAAGTATAAAATAATATTGAATATACGTTTAAAAGCTTTTTCAATTCAAATAATTATGTATTAATAATGATTTTTATTATATTATATCATTGATTATAAATATACTGATGTTATAAACTTATGATTGAAATGATATTTAATACGCGGATAAATAGTATAAACAGCTATAAAATAGAAAAGAAAGATGTGATATTGAATATCACATTCGATATCGTGCTTACTATTACAAGGATATAATACATCGATGGAAGTGGTCTTAGAGACTTATGTAGTATGTGTACGTATGTGCCGATGGTTACTTTCCGTCTGTTTTTACGTTCTCGAATTAGAATTAATTATTTATTGAACGCAGATCAAGTGCAATTCCGCTCATGGAAAGCGGTCAATTGCGTTATTTTATTGTTTCATCCACTGTCATGTAACGCTTTGCCTTCGATGCCCATTAATATCGTTGCATACAGCAGAACAATCGTAATATTTCTGCTTCCACATAGTGTTTCTTATCGAGATACTACGTAGAAAGAAGAATAATTCGAATAAGTAACTTGTTTAAACGTTTCAAGTTAGCTGTTTCGATTCTATCGATGACCAGGATAGTGAAAATTATTCTGTTTTAATACATTTTTGTTACGTCTTAATATTAGATTCGAATTACTAGCTCGAGGCAATTTAAAATAAATTTATTTTTTCTCACGTACTAGGTAGGATTATAAATTCCAATTTTAGATTTCAATTTATAATAAGTGTCGTTGGTTCATACATGGATTCAATAAGTAGCTTAAGTTGAGTTTAATTCATTAAATTCATTAACATTCATTTTAATTTCATTTAACTTTGTTTTAATTTGTATTCTCTACTTTTTGTGATAAATATTATCAATGATATCTGTTGCAAAATAAGTATAGAATAAAAGTTAAAGAAAAAGTTAACAAGAATTTAATCTAATGAAGAATTTAATCTTTTAAAAAACGTATATTTCTTCAGAATAATTTTATTTTTTTAATAAATTATTTTAGAATTTCAACAAATCTTATTATAATTTTGATAGTAGATTTATTCTTTTGATTCATTTAGAAACACATTTTTCCAATTATTTTTAATTTAAATATTATTTTTAATAATATTTTATTACGTGTATCATACGAAAAAACTTATTAAATATGGTGTAATATTAATTCTTGATATTTCTTCGAAAAGAATATATTTTTAAAAAAATATATATATTAAATTTGAATCATCTTCGAAATATATAAAACGCATATCAGATGCTTCGAAAATAGTCTAAATTAAAACGTGATTAAACACGTTTTATTAATATTCAAATTCTTAAAATTTTATTATCAGAATTAAACGCGACATCTATAATTATTTTCTCGATGTTCCTCTTATTCTTCTTAAAATCATAATATCATAATTTCATTAATTTATTCCAATATACTTTCTACACTATCTACAATTGCAATTTATTTATATCAAAAAATAAAGAAAAATGTTATTTTTATCATTCGAAGACAGGAGAAATAAAATTAAAATTGGAACATAACGAAAAGATCGGCAGACAGAGCCCATTTTAGAATTACATATGAATCATTCACCGATACTTTTGTAGTTTTATATTTCACCGCAACAGTAATAATGTTCCGAAACGTCAAACGTAGTCCCTAGAACGAAGCACGAGGAGTGAATATTGAACATGAAATGTCAAGTTTGGTCGAGACGAGTTCAGGTTCGAATTAATAAATTCGATATTCATGAAATAT